TGTATAAATAATATCTGAAAAAGAATTTATTTGTAAAACGTATTTTAATAAATGAAAATTGTTTTAACCTAGATTTTGCGCGATATAACTTCGCAATATCATGTCTTTAAATATGTATGGTATGAAAGTCGAATAAATGCACGCTGTCAAAGCAAGAATTTTTTTCTTTTGTAGTTGTAAAAGGCGTTTTTAAAGTCTTAATTAAAGAGATATCCTTAATGTAATTTACAATCCTCTCTTATAATTCAAAAAAGATTTTGCGCTATATTGAATTCTTTTTTCTTTACTATGTGTATTTTTATGTTTTCACTGATATTACCGCTCATGTTATTTTTCATATAATAATTACGTTTACGGCTTTCTTTGGGTATATTATAGAATTCAATAAAATATGAGCCCAAAAATATAGTTTTATTTTAATAAGAGTAACATACCGATTAATTATAGTATACTGTCTGTAATCCGCGACACCTTCTGTACGGAATATTTCAGCGAGATTAGTTGAGCCTTTTTTGGAGATACCTTCTAACCAACACCTATCCATTTGAACTTTCGCATTTATAATATTACTAAGATGTGCTTCTTTCCGACTTGTGTTTTTTTTTTACTTGTCATATTGTGTCATTAGTGCGTATTTAATTATATGGTAATAACACAAATATATTTTTTGTAGACCGTACTTTTCAATAATTTGGCCGTTAATGCCGTTGTTGATTTTCTATTCTATTTACTTGGAAGGCAAAAATGTAAGTCGACTCGTCTTTTTATTACGATTTCAATACTTAATGAATGTATTGTGTTACTGTTTCACATTTCTGTATGAAAACGTATCGATCGATTCATGTTTCGTTTCCTTACGCCTGATAGAGCCGCATCATTTTTATGTAATGATGCGAAAGCGAACCGGAACCGAGGCGAAGGGTTACGCGAAACACATGAAAAGGAAGCGAACATAGATTTTTATATAGAATATAGAATTGGCTTGGTTATCGTTTATTGTCTTGCTTAATTTATCCATTATCTGTTTAAATTAAAATTGTGTAGTTACGTTTCTGATTCAACTCGCTTCCGTGGCTGTGTGCTAGAGGCGTTACGGGTGTTTGAAAAAGTTTGTACCCCTTATTCGAAACATGTCAAGCCAAATGAAAAAGGATAGCAAGATGGCAACCCTGGGCTTATCTGCGCTATCGTCTCAGATAACACCTGCGACTTTATTGTTTTCGTGACCAACTTTTTTATTTCTAGAACGGATTGTCCTCGTCGGCTTACGTAGGCGTTAACTGTTCATTATCGTTTTATTTGAAGATTAAAGGATTCTGATATTTATTTGTTATAACAGTGAGTGTACATAAAAGATACAAATAATATGTTTTATTTTGTTTCCGCAGTGGAACCATACTTTAAGGAATTATGGGTGAACATAACCAACTGACCATTATTAACCTCTCTCTGCTTATGCCTTTAAATTTCGGGTATTGTTTATTGATACCGGTGGCTGTTTTTTACCATCAAATCCGGAAGAAAAAAACATTTTATTGTTAATAAATAACGCAATAAGAAATAGCGACATTTTTTAATACTAAAAAATTAATGAAATGTCTGGTTAAATAACGATGGTTTGAAAGGCTATCATCAAGTCGCGGCCAGTCGTGTCGGAGTTTATTAATTATTCCTGAATTTCAAACTCGAAAAACATAAACGAGTGTTGACAGACATATTAAATGCTCCATTGACGGTGTACTCAACACATGTTTTGACTATGTTTTGTGAAGCAAAATATTGTAAAACATATACTAGAAACATTGTATCCTGATCCGTTCAAGTTCTCTATTGTTATTTGATCCACTCTCCTATATCCTATCCATTCTATTTCTTCTTGTACTTAAGAACTAGTCTCGGTCTTGTTGAAGGAACAATTTCGTCGTTTATTTCGCGTACTTTTGTTTTCATAAATTTTAATCTTACAAAATAGCTGTATTAAAATCGTATTGATCACAGAAGTAGCTGTAGAGGTATTGATTTTATAAATATTAACTAAGTGTTCTCTATTAGGTAGTATCGGGAAGTCTGTATTTACCTTCTGGTACACCACGGTGCGCCGTGTTTTCCAAGGTGGTACTTACTTGATATATTTTTCAACATCTTATTGCCATTCAATACTCGGTGTCGCCTCACCTTGACTCGAGTGTTTACATTCCGTCGCTTATTTTACCGTGGGTTTCGACTGACGTGACACTTGTATTGACAAATATTGTTGTCTCTATTTTTTCGAAGGGATATCAATATGTGACACGGCAGAGGAAACCCATAGGTAAACAACACCTTTCCTGCAATTCTTTCCAAACCTTCCGTCTTCAGATTGCTGTCCGTTTCGATGCAAGATTTTTTCAGCATACTTTTGAAAAGTGACAACATGTAATAGAACTTGCTTTTTTTAAATCTAAGAATCTTAATCATTGTACTTAAGGGCGTCGCCAGCCAATTATGAGGGGGATAGAAGTAAAAATTCATTTTTTATTATCTGTCTGTATTATCCAAGAGACTACTTATCTGGTCTAATTTATTAATGACAAACTGACAAGTACGTAAATGCAAATGTTTCTGAGTAAGTATCTAAAAGTAGTAAATAAGTGAGAGTAAGTTATCTATGTGGATCTATAGGGATTGTGGATATCTTAGTATAAACAGTATCTTATAAATTTATTTTACATTTAACTCGTTCTCTATGGGGGTGGCTACCCCCTCCCTCTTAGTAACGTCCATGTTACAACTGAACAACATATATATTCTCTAATGTACTATCACGTACACATACTTTTCGTATTTAATTGTCCCTCCTATTAAATTATTCAGAAACACTTAAAATGTCGATATCAATTATACTAACGAAATACCATTATTATTGCTAAATAAATAAATCTAATTAGTAATAAATTTGAATGTGGCGAACTACAAATATAGAGAAAGAGCGTAGAAAGCATGGATGGATTGTGTGTAAGAGGATTTGTGTAAGAAGGGGGTGAATCAAGATATGAAGGATGAGAGAGATATTTGGAAGAGTAGAGTATTGTGCTGACCTTCAACGTAACTAGCCGATGTTCGAAGAAGAGCAGGACGATGATCAAGGATAATCGTAGTATTCTTATTATACAAGGTAATGCTTATCAATATAGGGGCCTACTTTTTAATGAAAAGCTGACAAGTAGTTTTTAAGTTATATATGTGGATATCCAGGGATTGTATACATTTATTTTACATCTAGCTTTCGTCAGCGACTCCGTCCGCGTGATATAAAAAAAACAAAAATGTGTAGCCTAGATTTTCTTTAAGAATATCTTCTACATCTATACCATAATTCATCAAAATCCGTTCAACCGTTTAGTAAACATTCGCATTTGTAATATTAGTATGAAGTATGATTTTTGATTCTGTAGGGCTAGCAGAAGAAACGCCAAGTAAATTATGCACTAGTTATTGATCGTAAAAATTGCTTGGAGACGTTCTTTATAGTCGTTATTACGTATTACACGTAATTAACTTGTTATATGACATTTATTTGTAATGCAACCGCACAACTAGTTGCACGCTATCGATGTCGATCTAGATTTATTATCGTGACATTTATTTTTTTTCATGTCATTGTACAGATGTGAGAATAATAGATTTTAATTCTGCGTAAAATAATAATTATTAAGGAACTTATTCGACAGACGACGACATGTTTTAGTTATGCGTATTGAATGCAAGTGTTCCTAACTCTTTTTTCTTTTTTTTTTAAATATCTTCAACATAGGAATCTTCTGGTAGAAATAAACACAACAAAAGAGAATTAAGTACATTTCAAGTTCACGCGTTATACGATAACCAAGGTAAATATAGGTTTTTTAAAATTCTCAAATAGTACCTTAAGGTCTTATTTTCCTACGAGTTATCGCCTGCAAAACTCTTTAGCGCAAATTTGGACTACCGGCTACTCCATTTTGACAAGGCGGCATTTAAAAAAGTAGCCTATAATATGCCCGTCTATGTCAGCTATGCTACATGTTTAATACAGATATTGTCACAGTTAAAATTCATGGTAACATTGTAGACGATTTTAAACATTGTAATCTTGTAAAGACACAAACTAACCGTGAAATTTCACTGCCGAAACACTTGTATTGAAACATATTGTTGTCTTTGTTTTTCTAAGCATAATAAGATGGATGTCAATACGTGTTATACAAGTATTCTGTCAGTGTAAACCCACACAGAGTAAAGATATTCGATCATTCAGTCGACGCTCAATTACTGTGGTATATCGTGTTCGATTACCTACGTGTGGAGACATGTATAATTTATGTAATTGATTGCTGAAGGCAATGCCAATGTAATCGAATAAAACGCGACCACAACATCGGTATTAGCAAAACCATCACGCGTACCTTCGATGTCGAAGCCGGGTGAAAATTAAAATAACATTGTCCGCCCTTGTTCTTGGCGAAATTATCCTCTCGCGGACTCACGTATTGAAAATCATTTACCTTTGTTTATTTGAGGTGACCTCGATTTGGCCATCGCGTATTGCGTTTTAAATCATGTAAATACAATGTTAGTGACATTCGAATCGGAATATTTTGTCTCGCAAGTTTACACGACTCAGCCCAACATTTCGATCTTGAAGGTGCTCAACGTATAATTTGGAATAAATGTCCATAACCTCCAAATCTCCATCTCAGATTTTAGCATGATTCAAATATCTCACGGGAACATGATTTTATATAAAAAATTGGACCCAAAAGAGATTATAGGCATATATTAATATCCAATGTAGTCAACTTCTACACTCACTCTAGTTAAAGGGTAGCTAAGTAAGTCTCGGATACTTCCGAGACAATTAAGAACTACTGTCCCTAATTAGTGAATTATCATATCCATTCTTAGGTCCAGTGAAGACATAAGATAAAGTTTCGCATTAGTCCTATGGATATGGAGAATAATTTAATTCTGTTTGTGTTTAGGGCGAGGGCGAGGACGAGCTCCGGCTGGACGAAGAAATGGAGCGGGTGCTATGGGGAGATGGCGAGCCCCCGCCACTTGTGGAATCCACAGCTTCACCGCTTCGGGATATCGCTGCACCAGTACCACAAACAACGCAAGGTATGACCTACACGGTCTGCTGTAAGTTAGTATCAATAGTTTCGAGCGGTCGGCTTACAACCGACAGGATTTTGACGGCACACTACTCCTGATGTTCGCCAAATGCCAATCACTTGAAGGTGTCGATGCCGACGTTAAGAAGTCGTGTCGCTAATGGTAATATACTAAGGTATACTATTAGATAATCTCCGGAAATCAGTTTAAAACGCCTGGCGTATTCATACTCACATAATCATAACCATAAGTTGAACTCTAGATTTAGTTAATAATAGATTGAATAAGAAAACGAGATACTCTAAATAGAATGTTACTTGAAAAAGCAAATTAATTATAAGTTTATTTACTCACGATTGAACTATTATCAGTATTTTTGTGTCGCTAATTTTTACATGGTGCTAACTAGTTCGACAAAAATGACGTAGAATATAAATACACTCAAAGTAATTGGTGTGAAAACAAAAGTACACACTTTACAAGACGACAACGTCCTTTGATGTAACAGTTAATTGTCAAACTTTAATCGCATAACTTCTATGATTTGGTTACTTTATTATTTATGAAAAAAAAAACACATAGAACATGTTCCCAGATGTGCCCGTACAAATTTGATAAAGGATGCTTTTCTATGCAGATGGAGGGAGTTTGCCCAGTGTGACAGAATTGTCACAAACGAGCCCGTTACCGTTGGATAGCATGGGGTCAGACCATCAGGCTAGTATTAAAAACTAATAATTATTTTCCTCAGTCTGTATGTGGCTGTTGTAAATGATGAACGAAATTTATGTATTTTCGTTCTCTTATTATAAATGCGCGGCGTCAAGTGTACACGAAGCCGTTGCTCCTGTGTTTACTTATTTTCAATTAGTTTTCAATGTACCGTCGAAGTTAGACAAATGCTAGAAACGTTCGTCGAGCGAGCAATGTTATTGCAATTATGCCATTGGCATGGCCGTGAAATATAACTTATTCACGGCAGCTTTTTCGATAGTCCTCGTTCTAAATTTTATTTATGCACCAATTGGATCGATGTAGTCAGTCAACGGAGCGCATCGTAATCTCGGTTTCGTGTCACTGAGGAGAGTGCACCGTGATGGGCGCGTACCGCCGCGAAGGTCGCGCATCGCCCTGCACCAACCGAGCGAGGGTTGTGGCAGCAGCGACGTCGGCGACTGCCAGTGATCGTGCAAGACAACAATTATTAATGTCAGCATGCGACGTCCTGTGATCGATACAAACGAGCCTTGTTTTAAAAATCAGCTTTCAGTCAAACAGTGAACTCCGATGGCTTAACAATGTGTTAAGCCTTCAATATGGACATTAACTAATCCGCATACATAATTACAATCAATTAGCGTGAACATGATCAATGGTTTAAATATGTTCAAGAGTTAATTAATTATTATGCACAGATGTCGATATTTTCGGGTTCCGGATCTGCAGGGAGTCCTCAGGAGGTGGATGAAAAACACGTGCAGTTCCACGGCGACCGACGCATCTCCAAAACTGAGTTTGACGACGCAAACGACGAGCGGCGCAATCAACGATATATGTATGTATATCGTTAACAATGGTCTATTTCAGTTCATTAATAGGCTTCCTTAACATTAACTTTCCTCATCTACAGATTTAGTTGCCAACAGTTAATTTACGTACGTTTTAATAATTTCTACAAAATCCGATCCAAAAATTATGAGAGGCTTTTTTCAAATATCTTTCACCTCCAATATCGCCCTCATATTTGTAAAAGCACTCAAGTATTTACAGTTAATAAGTAATTATTTTAAAATCGAGTTGTGGATATTGGTTTGTTCGGCTTTATTTTGGAATTACCTCGTTCGTTGCGTAAAAATGTCACGCAAGTACACAGTATTGTCGAAAATAGTGTAATCACGCGTACCTCCCATAACTGTTTTAGGGGTCTAGCAAAATGTTCAGACATATACCATACACTTGTATGGTTTTACACCATGTAATAATTTATATAAAAACACATCTTCAACTCCTGATTTCCACGGTTACATACATCGAGATTATTTATTAAGCTCCTATTTAAAAGATATGTAAAAATCACCATAATATATTTTGTTACATAAAGAAATGGAAAACATAATTCGTTCAACAACTAAAAATATTGGCTTGTCTTCACATAATATATTCTAAATGAGAAATCTAAGTCGTACAAAATTAGTTTCAGCATGAGCAATGCCAAAAATGACGTCACAATCGCTTTGAGGCAGCACGTTTTATCACAATTGCGTATATATACAAAGCGTACGAAACTAATCGAGCTGCTGTACTCATTCACACGACATTCGAATAAATTATACAAATACATACATTTTTAATACGATAAATAGAGTATCTGTGAATGTTTGGACTTGATCGTACAGTTCCTGGGTTCGATCAAAATTGGAGATGTGTGGATAAATGTAAACACATTCTTTATCTTCTGTCTTCTATACATAAAAAAAAATTGAAGTTTCTGTCTGTAATATCACAACGAAAATCCCAGATTTCGGGAATATGATATATACAAGATGATAACGAAAATTGCATTTATTTTTTTTTGTTTTTATCTGTCTGCTATCCGCAAACCGTTTTTGTTCCGGGTAATCTCCGAAACAACTGAGCCGATTTCGATGAGACTCACTGGAGGGTAGCTACTCTCCAGTGAAAGTCTCAACCTGGATAGGCATATTATAAGCTATTTTTTATTTTAATATTGCGGACTAAGTCGCGGACTACAGCTAGTCTGCAGGTTAAATTAAGGATACTAATCGACCTATTCGCTTTAAGCCAGCGTGGTGGTCTACATAGTTATTCCTCAATTAAGGTTGGCTCGGGACCCTTATTTTATGGATTAATGTGTGTCCTGTTGGAAGAAATATAACGAGGACAATAACGTGCGCTTTAGATGCGCTTTTCAATATACAATACTTATTTAATCCTTTCATCTCCGTAGGATGTTCCTATATCCCAATACAGGAAGCTTACGTCGTCGCAGACATCACAAAGTGAACGTAGTTATTAAAATCATATATTTTACAAGAAAAAATTAAGCCTGGCTTATCGACGATGTTCTTGAACATTTAATTATTTACAATTGAAAATGTAATGTTAATACATTTTTACGTTTATTGACGAAACTTTGCTATAATAGTAACTTTTTATTTGACAAAGTCGTCTGAATCGATGAACATAAGTGTCACAAAATCCTTGTTTAACTGTAGCTGTCTTGTCACGTTTTTTTTGTTTTAGGACGTTTACTATATCTATGTAGGTTTTACACATTGATGGTAGGACTAGTCACAACAGCAGCGCCTCTCTTACCGGCCCAGATAAGTTAATCGCATCTCACTTTCGTTGCATGGGCATCACAACGAACAGACAGACAGGATATCCCCTCCTCCCTCTAAAGAATAGAAAACTGTATAGTAGATATAAAAACTAGTTCGAATAAAGCCATATTAGTTGTTTGCTGTATCCTTCTTAGATTTAGCCTAAATCATCGGCTGATGACTGTTCATTTTTCGTTTGCTGTGTGAACGTCATCAACCACTGTTAGAGTTGACAATACGACAAAGAGAATCGGATTTAAATTTCGTTTTCATGTCGATTTTCTATGCCAATGTTATCACAGCTTAAAAAGTGTAAGTAATATGATAAATGTCAGTTTTAGAGCGGGCGCACACCTTTGACTAAACTATCGCACAACCGTTGTGTGATGGTCTGTTGTTTCGCAGATCATTCAACTGCTTAGTTGCATAACCAAAAAAGAGTAGTGTGCGAACCACCTTATAAAGTCAAAGGAATCAAAGCGCGACTAAACAGTTTTGCGATAGCTTAGTTTAAGGTGTGCCCACGTTCTTAATCTAGCACTGTTTACAATCGTCCTGTAGTACTTTCACTTTTTTAGCTCCTATCTACTTTACCTTTATATTCATTTCTGTATATTTACCGCGTCTCGGTGCCTATAAAAAGAGTATTCGTTTAATATAAATATTTTACTTTGATCCCCGGTTTGCATCTCAGTTCCTTTAAAAATAATATTTAATATTTTACAAATAATGAGTTCCTTTGATACTGCAAGATTTAGTAATATCTGGATCGAATTTAGGCTGTGGAATTAATATTTATAACTTTAATTATTTTAGAACTCGTCCCAAGTGATATGTTGATTCAGACAAAGTCGCGCGTGACATGCAAGCATCTTTTAACTTTAGACTACATTAGCTGTTCCCGTGCGACTTCATTCGCATGATATTATGAAAATTTTATTTTATTGTTTACATTTGTCAAATTATCAATTACAAATTTCAAAATGACATGACATGATGACAATTTGCTTCCTTGATGTTGGCAGCAACTTATGGTCTTTTCCCACATTACGGTTTTTATCCAAAATCATTATCCCCTAAGTTTAATGGCGGGAAAATATATAGCCTAAAGCGTGACGTAAGTGTAGGGATTTTTATTAAAAAAGGAATTATTCAAAAATACGCTGTGATTGCGGACATCTTAGGCCACAAAGAAGTGTGTGTTTACGCTTTATTAATATACTAATAGTATAGATTGAGTGCATAAATCAAGGGTCGCATAAACATTTAAGGTATGGAATCAAACCTATGTATTAAGAACGTTACTTTATATTATTTTGATTAGAAAAAGAATATGCAATAATTTCCACCAACTAAACCATGAAATGATAATGATTACGATTTCTTTCTATAAATATGTAGCTGTAAATGATAATTACACTTTAGATATATACTGTTAATAAATTGTTAAAAACCTTTTATTCTTGCCTGTCACCTGTTCATTGCATAAAGCCAACGAAACGGTTTGTTTTAATGTCACCTAGATTTTAAAATAACTTTCCCTGACACCCTCTGTTCGTTTATTCGTAACAAACAAATTGCATACTTGCCGTATTAAAAACTCATGCTTCTGAAGTTTGTATGCGCGAATTAAATTGTTGTCCGGCATATTAATTTTACTCGTAATATGAATTGTATGAAATACACGGAAGCACTCCAATTAATTGAAAATTAATCATCATTATATTAATACGTGAAACGAAAGCTTTGTATCCCTCTTTAAGGAAATTGAGAGTGAGTTTTGACAAAGTGAAAAAATGTGCATAAAGCTGATTAAAATATAAAATAATAAAAAAAATCATTGATTATTGGTTATTGCCGAATTTCGATTGTATATGGTATACATCTTTAATATGTAATAGCGTTTTTAAGATTTCAGTAAGACAATATAATATGAGTCAAACATTATAACGGTCATCCCTTGGATAATTAAAAGGTATAAAAGGACAGCGCACACTGCTTATTAAGTAATGAACATGATCACTCAATCATTTTTTTTATAATAAAGTGGCAAACGAGCAAGCGGCCACCGAATCCGCCAAAATGGCGAAGATACCGCTGCCCATAGACATCCGCCATTGCAGATGCGTTGCCTTCCCTTAATAGACGCACATAAAGAGGATATTTCCACTTCCTATGCGGCCCCGCAGCCGTCAAATCCACTTTTTCTTCCCAACTTGTACTCTTAAGAAAAGGGTGGATAGGAAAGTGGACTTGATAGGCCTCCAGCATCGCACTCATCCGTCGAAACGCGGAATTGTTCCCACTTCACGTTTGTCTTCCATGTGGTAATGGTAGTACACCGGGCGATCCGACCCATTTCTAATAAAAATAAGAATATAAGCTGATTATTAATAACAACTAAAAATTACAGTGCTACATACAACTGACTAACGTCTTTACAATTACAGTACATAATGAATGTTACGTATTTTAGAGTAAAGTAACCTACTATATAAGATAATAGTATATTCAAGAAGCGAACGTACCTCTTTCTCAAAGGGCGGTAACGCATCTGCAGTTCCTCTGGTGTTGTGGATGTCCGTGGACATCGCTTATCCTTAAACGCTAAAGGTTTTTCTTAACTCAACACAACAATTTCTTTTTACGTAGTAAACTCGTTTGCCCCCTTTAAAAATGTTTAACTCTGCTCTTACTCGTATATTATTATACATAACAGCAAAATGTCTCAACCATACAAGACACGGAAGTTGATTGTGCATGACAACTTGCCCCTGGATTATGAGCCGAATGCTGCGGTAGGCTTGGACGACCACATGCCGGAGATGGACCAGGAAGTGTTGCGCAGCCATCGGAGTGACGACCCGAGAGCCCTGCGACGACATAAGATACGCAAGGTTAGTAACGTGGAAACCAAAAAGATAATAAATTGACTAATTAACACACGTCGAAAGAAGCTGAACAGTACTATAGGACACATTAAAACATACTAGTATTAGTAATGTATTGCTTAGTGATTATAATTTGTTGTAGTTGCCTTATCTGATGCTAACTGTTTCTATAAATGTACTTGGAGTATTTGGCTATTAACGTACTTATATTCAATTTTATATCGTTCCAAAGAAGTACTAGAAATGCTCTCTGATTTTGTTATGTATATTTCATTATGTATACAGGGCTCGACAGTACACGTCGGTCGAAAGGATGGCGGTGACAAGGTTGCGGACATACTCACTGATTTGACGTACAAAAAAATGTACGACCATAGGCCTCACGCGGTAAGATTACAATATAATCTAATCGACAATATATTTTGTACTAACCGTACCGGCATGATTTTTACTTGCGAATTTTCCATATCTATCGATTACAGCTTTAGATTTGAGACTAAGACATACTATATCTTACTGTCACGCGATATTAATCAGTACGATTCGTGATGTCTTCTATGCAGGTCTTCGTCCAACTTGACGAGCTTCTCGCCACCGAGGATGGTGATCCAGAATGGAAGGAAACAGCTCGTTGGATCAAGTATGAAGAAGATGTGGAGGAAGGGTCAGCCAGATGGGGTCGGCCGCATGTCGCCTCCCTGTCGTTCCACTCCCTGCTGAATCTGAGACGGTGCCTAGAGACTGGTGTGGTACTCCTCGACCTCGACGAAAAAGATCTTCCTGGTGTAGCATACAGGTACTACATGTTTAAAGTTTTAAGAACTTAGTCGGTGCAGACTAAAAATTCTAGTGTTCGAATTTCAATAGGTCAAAAACTATTTCATGAATATGATTTTTTTTGGAAAGTACTTGCAACCTGTATATTTTAAGCCTCTATCCTTTGTGTGATGTGGAAGATTAATGATTTGTCGTTTCGTAGGGTGGTCGAAAGCATGGTTTCCGAGGGTCTGATCGAAGAAGACGATAAGCCGGTCGTTATGAGATCGCTTCTACTGAGACATCGACATGTACACGACGAACGATTCAGGTTCTCAATAGGAGGAAAGAAACAGTCCTCGTATACCAGTTTACAGGTTTGTACAAACTAGTTACAATAGATTATTCCAACTCTTTTCTAATAAGGAAAGAAGGGATTGGGGTGCATTTTCCCCTCTTTTTATTTAAGGAAGGCAATGCATCTGCAAATTTCTAACTTATTTGTGATGTATAGATAGACCTGCAGTGGGGTTGGGGCACCGGTCACTTCAATATTTAACGATTTTGTTTTATATCTGCAATACACATGTGAATTTTATCCATATCAACCAGTCTTAGGTAATTTGTCGTGTTGATAAGAAAATTCTTCCTTTATTTTTTACCTAACACTTGATAACGATACAAATGTTAGTTATATAATTTTGCCATAGATAAAATATCTACACCAAAATTATAGCAAAATATCTCCATATATTTGAATTTATTTTAAATTCATTTATTGAAATATTTTGTGGAGGGTTTGTTGGTTGTACAAAATTACAAGATGTATTCAATGATTTAACAAAGAATTTATTATCTATTATAGATTTATCAGGGCTCATCAAAGTTTCGTTTCTTTATCTTTGAAATGTAAAATATAACAAAAGCTTAAAGAGTTTTGCGAATATTTCTAAATATGCTTACAAGCTCAAGTACATATGTACTCGTATACATTAATGCACGATGTAAATGACTATCTGTACTCCTTGTATACATAACTATGACAATCCTGGAAGAATTTTCTCAAAATCTTCAAATCTATGAAGGTTTTAGGCTACAGGTTATAACCATAAAAACAAGGATTGTCCTCTTGTGAATTTGCTAGAAACGAATTCATACATTTGACTAACCTTTTAGAACGAACGATGTTGGGAGTTATTTTTATAATCCTATAATTTCATACAAATTTTTAAAAAAACAAAGATGTTGTAGTCTCTCTAAGCTATTGTAGTAGCGAAGAATAGTGCTTATTCTTAAGGGTTCCTAAAGCTAAAACTAACCTTTTGTACTTCTAACTAATGACTTACACTTTACAAACTCAAACAATACTATTTTATTTTACAACAATGTTAATTAAATCTAGAATTATTTTGAACGCCGTGTAACTGTAGAAGAAAAGGATGAATAAAAAATAAACACAACGGTTAAAGGGGAATGATGACCGCATACTTAAAATATATCGGCGTCGGTTAGAATTTAGTTCAAAATTAGAAATCAATATTCATTATTGACTATTTAAGTAAACTCGTATTTTATTACTACAGTCATCCTTTTTATTATCTATACCTCTATGCTATTATTATAAAGCGTAAACACACACTTCTTTGTTGCCTAAGATGTCAGCAATCACGGCATATTTTAGAATAACTCTTTTTTAATAAAAAGCCCTACACTTACGTCACGCTTTAGGCTATATATTTTCAAGCCTTTAAACTTTGGGGATAAAGATTTTGGATAAAAACCGTAATGTTGGAAAAGACCATAAGTTGCTGCCAACATCAAGGAAGTAAGACAGTCAAGGTTTGTCATGTCATGTCATTTTGACATTTGCTATTGATAATTTGACAAATGTAAACAATAAAATAAAATTTTCATAATATCATGCGGATGAAGCCGCACGGGAACAGTTAGTCTTTGATAAAACAGAGACCTAAAAATATAATAAACGGGACTGGAATTCTACTGTAATAATATACTGCAATGATTTGATTCGCAATTCACTTGTAGTAGTTTATTAGATTAGCTCAAAAATTCTGCTGTGCGCTATATTTAAACACCAAGAAATACACCAAAAGCCCGCCATATACGCTCTGTTCTGTAAAGTTTAACTGACAGTTAACAGTTTGCCTACAGACTCATAGTTTTACTAAACAGTTGAAAGGTTCAGTTAAAGCGATCTGATCTGAGCGTATGTAGTTCGCTTCACAATCACCTTCTTGACATGTTTGTTGCGAGTTTTCAAAGGGAAATAAATAATGATAAAAGTTAATCTTCGTCAGTCACAAAGTCCCTGTTATCGAAGATTACGTTGATATGTTTGGCATGTATTTATTAGTAATGCAAAATTGAAATATTCAAGGCCCTAGATATTCGGTACCTACTATAGTTTGTTCGCTGTTGAAACTCGCTTTAAGATACAAGCACCAACTAGTGATTAACATAATAGACTCCTTAGTTACAGAATTTATTTTTGATATATTTATTGACTATTAGTTTGCGACCGATTTTACTTGATAATACCCGAATAATACTCAAAGCACACTTTCATTAAAGCTTGTAATATCTTTGAATTGGTTTGAAAAATATAGCCAATCTTATCTTTATAAAAGACAAACAATTAATACTCTACATTTCTTTCTTAACAAAATTATTTTATCTACTGAGATATACACCTTTAAGTTGTAACTACCAGTTTTTATTACACAGATACTTCAAAAAAATTGATAATATTGTAAAAAAATAGAAACTATTTCGTAGTCTAAAGTAAACAATAAGATTAGGAAAATCTGAAACAATTTAAAAATCAATTATTATTTGAAATGGTACTAGTAGATTTTCCTAGCGATAATAAGAATTATGCTTGCATTGTGTAATATGAAATATCTGTCCTTTAATGAGGGGCAATGCGTATGCGGTCATAGGAGTACACAGGTTGTAAGATAGAATGTTGTGCAGTCGCTGTGGCTGGAGGAGCCTGGCTTGGGGCAAGGCGGTGCGAACGGCGCGCGCATTCGCTGCTCGCATTGCTCCCCCGCCGGCACCTGTCGCCGGCACAGCGCCCACATTCTTGTACGGAAATCTATGCGCGTGCGCTCTTTGCCTGCCACCGATCATACACGCACTATGTATTGCACATGCGTGTCCATCAAACGCCATCAAACACGTATTCTCAACTCAAGTTCTATATTAAATATCCAGTAGTTTATCGGAAAATGCGTTTTCCATTTCTCAGTATTGTTAAATACATTCGATTCCTCGGATCACTGAACAGGTCTTATTGCATGAATTTGCATATTCAGTTCAGTGATTTGAAAAATCTTATCCTAGACAAGATTCACCGCCATCTGTGTAAAAATCCTTGCCTGCAATGTTGAGATATAATACGTTAGTTCTAAACTTAATATTATCGTCTTAGTTTTAGTGACTAATTGTTGTCATAATTCATTCATTGTAAGTTATGTAGTAATTATATTTAAAATATTACATCTTCCGTCATGTTCGTACCATTTGTTTTTTTCTTTTGTTGCTGTTTATAGGTTGTTATGAATTGTATTTTGTGTGATGGTTTTCCACTGAAAATAACTTTAGGTTTCCCAGGAATACCTTTTTTATTTTCATTTTCGCTTTTCAATGATAAAGACCATGATGTCGTATTTAGCCATAAAATACAAAATTTTAAATGAAGCTCTTTTATAGCATAATGAGTCACATTTTTTTACATATCACCCTCATACGAGAAAGTATTTGTTTTTTATTTGTGTTTTTTCATATAGAGCTTGTCAGAACGTCGTTTTGGGCGTCGAAGTTCCTACGCCTTACCTCTTCATGAGCGCGCTGAGACACGTAAGAAGACGTCAGCGCCGGGCCTCGACCAGCGTGAGATAGAGTTCGTGGCTGCGGGAGTCGACGGCTCTCAGGATGAGCTGCGACGTGGACATAACGACTCCATCATGAAACGTATTCCCGACGACGCCGAAGCGACTACAGTTCTCGTCGGTGCTGTGGGCTTTCTGGACCAACCGACAATCGCGTTTGTCCGTCTAGCGCAAGGGATTTTAATGCCATCAATCACTGAAGTTCCTGTGCCCGTTCGATTCATGTTCATCCTCTTGGGTCCACCTGCCGCCGATCTCGACTACCATGAAGTTGGACGTTCAATTTCGACATTGATGTCAAATCCATCGTTCCATTCCATCGCCTATAAAGCTGATGATCGTCGCGAGCTTCTGTCAGCTATCAACGAATTCTTAGATGATTCTATTGTGCTACCACCTGGGGATTGGGAAAGGCAGGCTTTGTTGCCGTTTGAAGAACTACGTGCTAAAAGTGAAATGATAAGGCGACGTAAACGTGACGCATTAGAACGCAAGAAAGCCGCTGCCGAAGCGGCTTCCCCTCCCTCCGTTGAAAAACAGACGCTGATTGCGGCCGAATCTGGAGGGAAACAAGAAAAGGAATACGAAGACCCTCTTTCTAAGACTGGACGTATTTTTGGGGGTATGTAAAGTCAATAATGTCAAAAGCAACAGTCTGTGTATGCGCTCTTCGAGTCTCACTAATTTTTTTGCTCACAGGTGTATTAAGAGATATTAAACGTCGATATCCATACTACTTATCCGATTTTCGAGATGCGTTGAACGGGCAATGTGCTGCTGCCACTATATTCATGTACTTTGCTGCTCTTTCCTCGGCTATAACTTTTGGTGGTCTACTCGCTGATAAGACCTACGGAAAAATCGGAATTTCTGAAACTCTGGTAAGTTTTGCGTTAAATGTTCCATATTTTTGTTTCTTTGTAGACATTTGCTTTCATTTATTTCCTGTAAAAATGCAAATATATTCATCAAATAGTAATTCAAAACAATTGTTTATCTTTAATTCATCCATAATTAAAATTTTCGTACCGACGCGTCTGTTGTCGTTGTTGTTGTTATAGATTGCTGAGCATCCGTTACGCTCTGTGATATGAAATATATTGTAATTAGATATAACTACTCAGATGTGATATTAAATAACACTACGTATACCATCGCATTTATTTATTTATCCAAGATACAACAAAAACAATGAGTTTAAAGTAGTATGCAAAACGTACAGAATAAGTAGAATCATTAAAGAATAGATACAACATGACTTACGCTCTTGAAGCAGGGTAGTAGATATTACATTTGTTGCCGTTATGTGACAAAACTCTCGTCTCTACATCATATCTACATAAATTATCAATTAATCATTGACGTATGTTATTTGTTAATGTACGATTATATGAGTCATGTACGAGTTGTAAACGTTCACGATCCGCCCCCTTTATTTCATATTTGACCGTGACATGGAATTGTCAACTGCAAATGGACACGGAAAGTTGCACCTTTACTCTACAAGGTTTTAATAATATTATAAGTGCTTTTATTTTATGTAAATAATCACTATGAAATGGCCACATCTTGAAGTAATATAAATCCGAAATAGAAACACTCATGTTTTCTTTGATTTTCATTCAATTCGGTTTACACTTACTTTTTTATTAATGATGATGATCTTTCATGTATATTTGGTACGACAGGAATAATTAAAATCACTTCTCGTTTTATTTCTCTAACGTAATTATTAATAATACGATTATTACTAATAATTATTGAAAATGTAGCGTATATCCTTATTGAATAATGACCAAAACATGAACTGTTCGCTGTACGCTGCTAAAACTTGTTATTAATTCATTATTGTCACCTTGAATATAAAAATAGTATTGAGTGAGGTAGATGTTGCTACCATAATTACATAATATATGAGTTGGACATGTCGATCATAGCATATCTATTTTCTTTCTTACGTATTGATTTACACTACATAATATCCCACTTATATATTATGTTCATATATTATGTTGAAATTAATAATTATATGTTTTTACATTTTATTGCAGACTAATTACTTCGGCTTTATGTCGATGTTATTAGATTCCAAAATATTACATTTCGTCTTACTATCGCACGCTATATGAACTTTTCTATTAAAAGTCGTTCATATAATACATGTGCTCACAAACACTAATCTATACAGGTTTTTACGTGTGCTGGCGGAATCTTGTTCGCATTACTGGCTGGCCAGCCCATGATGATCACCGGGGCTACCGGTCCTTTGCTATTACTTGACGAATCACTGGCAACGTTCTGCAGATCCTACGGGTTTGAGTTTCTAGCTGCTAGAATGTATTGCGGCATCTGGATGATAGTGATTGCTCTTTGCGTGGCATCCGTTGAAGGGAGTGTCGCTGTTAAGAAGATTACCAGGTATTTTGTCAATTTGAACTACTGTTATAAAAAATGTTCTGCAATTTTAAAGTCTCATCTGATTGAAAAGCCATGGCACAGTTTGTAATGATATTCAAGCGATAAATTATGTTATTGTCGCAGATTCACCGAGGACATATTTGCGTTCTTGATATCCCTGATCTTCATCTCGGAGCCAATCACGAATCTGATTAGTCTGTACCGAGCGCATCCTCTCGGTTATGACTACTGCGAACACAGCGCTAACAGTACCATTGGAAACAATACCCTAAATAGTATGTATTTAAACTTAAATTTGCATTGGACTAATTTTAATTATTACAATTCTTATTACTTCAGTTATGATCAAGAAAACAATTATTGAGATATATGTTATATCCGCAGATAATGCAACCCTGCCCGTGGCATCTAACCACATCAAGATAACGCCTCAACCGAACACTGCGCTTTTTTGCACGATGCTCACTCTTTCAACTTTCATCATCGCCTACTATCTTCGTATCTTCCGCAACGGCAAATTCCTCGGACGCAGTGTAAGTTATCACAATCAAACAAACAAATAAAAAAAAACAAATACAGGCGACATGGTTTGGTCAATTATAGAGTTTAACGTAGACGTGTTAAGTCCCCGCCAAATACTAAAACAGTTTATCTATTATCTGTAGGCTCGTCGGGCTTTAGGAGACTTTGGCGTGCCGATCGCAATTGTCCTGATGGTTGGCTTATCAGTATTGGTGCCGGTGTGGACAGAGAAGCTGCAAGTGCCGGACGGTCTCAGTCCGACTGCGGATCGGTCGTGGCTGGTACCCCTCAACCCTGGCCTGGAAACGATCCCCATGTGGGCGGCCTTTGCTATGGCTTTACCTGCTCTCATGGTTTACATTATCGTGTTCATGGAAACTCATATTGCCGAGTAAGCTATTATTTACTGATGCGTTTATTCAAAACCGGAACATGAGTTGATTTGGATTTTTTTTACTTTTAACGAAACTCATCTCCTGTTGTGAAATTTACTTATGTTGTCTATGAGTATACTCATGAATAAGTTAACTTAATTAGACATATGAAGCATTGCGATGTCAAATATTGCGAAAATTTTAAAGTGAAGCGATTTGCTTACGTGATTGTGTGCGAATTAATTAATTGCTAACTTTCAAATTGATTTAAAATGCGTCGTGTTATAATTTAAGTCTTTATTAGGTTGATTATTGATAAACCGGAGCGTCGCCTCAAGAAGGGTAGCGGTTTCCATATGGACATCGTGATAATGTCAGTGGTGAACGCTGTGTGTGGAATGTTCGGAGCGCCGTGGCAGTGTGTCGCTACCGTACGTTCCGTCAGCCATGTGGCCGCGCTCACCGTCATGTCCACTACACACGCTCCTGGAGACAAGCCCTACATCGTCGAAGTCAAAGGTAAGGAAACAAATTTACAATTTTAATAAACACATCAACTGTTGAATGCAAAAAAAAATATCTTGCTTTACCCCTTATTTTAATTACACTATCTACCATAGGTTTTTATGGACAAAATAAACAGAAGATTTCATAAAAAATATTCCGATAAAAGTAATATTAATTGATATCAAATACGACAGAGCGGATTAGGGTATTATATCAATTGAACGAAGACGTCACATACAAAAGTTGTTGTACTAACGCTCTTAGTAACAATCCCTTCTGTGTATTATTATTATATTTGCTTGTTTTCTTATGATTCGATTTATCACATAATATTTTCATATTCTCTGTTAGTATTCCTTTAATAGTATTGACATAAAACTCAATATGTTTCAGATTATTGTCTTCATTTTATGCTCATATCTTAATATCACAACTGATGTTTTTATCGAAACATTTAATATAAAGATGAATCTATTTTGAAGTTCTATAGGTTAGTTTTAATAACTTACATTCTTCACATTGATCAATATTGTTTTTTTTCCTAGAACAACGTCTTACTGGATTGCTGGTCGCGGTGCTAGTCGGTATATCTGTGTTAGCTTCTGGTTGGCTGCGTTTGGTACCAATGGCTGTGCTCTTCGGCGTGTTCCTCTACATGGGTATCTCAGCTCTCGGTGGCATTCAATTCTGGGATAGATGCATCTTGTTGTTCAAGCCGGTTAAACATCACCCTCAAGTACCGTACGTACGACGGGTAAGTCAAATCGTTTAGAATAAAGGGGCACAATAGAATATATCCCAGAAGATATTGTATATATATGTAAAAAAAATGGTTTTGACTAGTCCGATTATAAAGTTCACAATCGGGCGGAGATAAATATGAAGATTTGTGATTTGGAAAAATATTTCCCTTTAAATTTTTTTCATCCGTTTATGGAAAACATTTGCAGTGTCTATCTAACTCCAGACTATTTCCGTCTATTTTCAGTAAATTGAACTGTGAGTGGGTGAGGAATTGCATCAGAGAGGCGGTAATAGTGTAGTCATGCCATTATCTCGACCCGCGCACTTCACTCTGCCGGGTTTGAATGAATAAAAAAAAATAGTTTCATAGACGTACTAGTCAAAATGTACTTTATAATTCTTACTTCTTACTAATATTATAAATAACTACGAAAGTTTAGATGGGTAGATGGATGTTTGTTAGAGTTTGTCGCATATACTTTTGGACGGAACTCGATGAAATTTGTTACAAATGTAGAGGATAACCTGGAAGAACACGTAGGCTACTTGTGTTTCTTAAATCCACGCGGACGACGTCGCAAATAAGACTTTGCCGAAATCATATGCACATCCGTATAATATATTGGTGCATTTGAAAATAAAATAAGTACGGACTTGCCTCTTTAATTCTGGAGTGATAATAATTTACTATTAATTTACACAAATCGATGGCAAAAAAAAACACTAAATATCCATAAAAAAACCATGGGCTCTATATTCCATTTAATATAAAAAGTTGTAAACCTGTTCGTTCTACAGTATTACCATTTTCATTCCAGGTTCCTACTTTGAAGATGCACTTGTACACACTGATACAGATCGGTGGACTTAGTCTTCTGTACCTGGTGAAGAGCTCTCAGTATTCACTCGCTCTGCCGTTCTTCCTGGTGATGATGGTGCCGCTACGAATGGCCCTAGCCTACGTTTTCACGCCTCTGCAACTACGAGCTGTAAGTAACGTTACATTGTCAACTACTGCTGTACTAACGAACATAAGGCGAGTCTACATCATTTGTTCTTGATCAAACTAGAACGAAGGTATTTGATACATCTTAGTCATTTTAGAGGAGATTGAATGATGTTGGTCTGTAGCACACCCTATTCAAACCACATTGCTATTTGCTAATAGCAACTCAAATGTGTCCAAGCTTTAATTTTTGATCATAATAATTATGCTAGTCAATGACTTTTCTCAGCCTTAATATTATAATTTTTTATAATATCAAGGTAAACAAGTAGACATACAATCTAATATAAAATTGTACAGTTTCATAAAAATTAAGTTGCCATTACTCATTTGCTTTAATTTATTTTACATTTATCTAGCGCTGAACACAAATATGTTTGTAGTACAATAACATCCGCGACAATTACCTAACATCTTACAAGGCAACGCAATGCAAAATGTTCTATTTTAAAATCAGCACTAAAAATATCTAAATTTAAATGAAACCTTGACGTTAGTAAAGTCACGTGATTGATCACCTTATATCTCATTTGCAGTTGGACGGCGCCCAGAAAGAAATAGACAAAGACGAGCCCGACTTCTACGAGGAATCGCCGCTTCCGGGCTAAGCAGCTTCTTGATAAATATTAAATACGTTGTATTCTCGATCTAACAAGCATGCGTTTATCAAAGAAAATGGAAATATAATTAACCAATAATTTCAAATTCTATTCGTAGTAGTAGTAGTGTAGTAGAAGTAGTCGAAGTAGTAGTATTAGTAGTAGTAGTAGTAGTAGTAGTAGTAATAATAGTAGTAGTTGTATTCCAGTTGTACTTTGCCAGTTAGTAATGGTGACAGCATGTTAGTATTCTAAATATTTATGTCAAGATTTAGAAAAATAAAATGTAAACGGTTCGTCAATCTATATCAGATTCCATTCAAATAAGCTCTTTAATGACTTATTAATGTTTCAATAATTTCTTTTCGAATACTTAAAATCTATTCCTTATCACACTCTTTTCTTAATACATTCTAAAATCTAACTCTGTCCTCTTCCTTTTGGATTTTAATGACGTTGTTTCTTTCATTTTATTTTTTACGTAGAACAATATTGAGATTATACAATTTATTGGGACGCGGGACGAATCACGTCGAGACAACATTTAAGGCGAGAACAATACGAGCCCGTGTTAGATAGAGCCATAAGAAAATTGATATTAATCAAACTTAAGTTAAGTCGTAGATGTAGATGATTATGAAGTAGAAACTAAAATTAATAATATATTACAATATGCCTACTTTACGCCACATTTTTTTCTCTTTCGTTGCATGTTGCCTACAAAATAAGATAGGTCGCATAAATGTTATTGAAAGCTTGAATATGTAAACTACGTAGTTATGGTAGATTTTAGTAATTTTAAATTATTGTTGTAAAATTATTTTGATGTATGTTTTCTTGAAAATAATAATTTATTTATAAAGGTTGTTGATTTCAAATGAGAATGTGCTCAATTGATTATAAATTAGAATTTCTCTAAATCTAAAAAAATCCTATGGTTTTTTAAATGAAACAGGATTGTTTAAACAAAAAGTTAAATACAGATACGCTCTGTAATAAAATTACGAGCCAAAGGTTAGGTGCCAAAGAGATATTTATTGTTTTTCAGTACGATTCCTTTTTTAATTTAAAAATGCGTAGACAATACGTGGACTGCTATCTGACCGCGTAAATGCGTCGTGTAGCACCTGCCTAAGAAATTATAATTCCGATTTAACTAATTTTAATTAGTTCTATTTATTGTTAGAAATGTTTATTGTTTTAAAATTGTCATCTTGTTTAAAAAATATTCTAACCAATTATTATTAAAAAGTGAGGTGAAGGGCCTAAGAAATGTCTATGTTTTGCCAAAGTTCAATTTTGCCTATGTATTTACTAAGTACTTAATTTACTATATATTTTTAATGAGTTATTTTAATTTTAGTACTAGTTGTCAAGGATAGGCTAAAATGCTTCTTGGATGTTTGAATATTACATTCCGGACGCCAAAACAAACACTTTAGTATATATTGAGATTACTTTAGTTTAAGTCTTGTTCTAATCGTTTTATTGTTTGTTAACTACGCACATAAGTGTTTTCGATTTGTATTTCATTTCCATATTGTTGTTAAAATATTAAACTTGCAGTTTAAAAAGTTATTCCAACATCCCAGTGATTATGTACAGAAGTAATGAATTTTATGTTATGATGATCGTAATATAAAAATTACTATTGGTTTATAAATATTTGTCAGGTACTTAATTGTGGAGTCAAATAGCCAATTACATTGTTAAGGTACTTATCCAAGGGAGACTAAATAAATGGAGATGGACTTTGTAGTCTAGCTTCTAGTTATATTTTGTATGATTTCAGTCAACATGAAAATCAATATTATTTGGCTACATTGTTTTGTTTTGTTACATTGTTATTCACAGCTCAATTAAACATTCCACATTAGTTTCTTTAGTGATCCATCATAATAAATGTATATGTTTTAATGTAAACTTTAAAATTCACCTTTATAAAGTCTCGAGCAAAAGGTTCTTCAAACTTGGGGAACTGACAGCCAACCTTCGCTAATCGGAGAGGCACCTTAAGTAGGAAAACGTTAATATGCCATAGGTTTTGTGTTCTATTATGATATAATATTGGTATGTGATTGTCAATTTTTTATTATATTTTTGACTTTGAGAATAAACATAGGTTGCCATTTGGTAAATGCAAATTTAGAATAAAAGTTTTATTTTAGTTATAAAAAAATCACTGTTATTATTAATGTAAGATTATAAAACATTGTCCAATTATTTACTTAAATTATTGGTAATAAAACACATTTGACATACAAATTGAAAGGGTCCTAATCTGAGTACAAGTATTCTGCTTTATATTAATTACAGTGTAATCCCACTGCCATCACACTTGTATTATTTATCTCTGTTTGTTTAAAGAGAATATTTATTACACCAGTGTTTTGGCAACGGAAACCAACAGTTAACTGGAATTAGATTGATTTAATATTGAACTGTTTAATTATGTATGGTTTTATAATTTCAGTACAAATAATTAAACAACTAAGTTGTATTTAGTATTAAGTAACATATTATTTTGAGTAATTATAAATTTGTTTTTAATTTATTAAAAAGTTATAGTTCAAAATGTGATCAATGTACAGTTTATTTTAGTTAATAGTTACCAAGTCAAAGGAATTAATGTGCTATAAACAGATACCTTAATTTATTATAAGTTCCTTGATTATTTATTTATTTAATGTTTATTGCAAAGGAGTGGATTAAATTGTCTGCTATACCTGTTGTTAGTTTTGACATTTAATAAATGAGTTAATTAATAATAAATCAATGTGTTTAATAGATTTGTTTTTATTTTTTTATTTTTAAAGTTGTTATTAGAACCCAATTATCGTTGAAACAACTATGTATACACACATAAAGTTAAAGAAACTTTATGTGTATACATAGTTGTTTGGAATTTAACCAGTGAGTGACATGTACTACTTATGCCCGGTTTACTTTACATTTGGATATAGGCACTAGCCTGGCAATGATTTTATGGACTCACTGGCACTAGTAGCTGTTCACATTATGCCAGTTAAATGTCTAGATAATGACACGATTTGTAAGACCAGTATTCAGTAATTTTCCATCCTCAACATCTTGATGGTTGGCATATTGGCATTCCACAACGCACCTAAGTCCCGAACTAATTTTTGTTTTGTGAAACCTATTCTCGAAGGCGAAACCTAGATGTGACAATTTTTTTCGTGATCAATACCTAAGCAGAAAAATCTAAAACAAAAACGTGAATTTTAAGAAAAAAAGCCATGCTTTTTGCAGATTTTTTAAATAAAAGGAAGGCAAAACTGCATCCTAACATTGTAAGCATTGATTAGAAAAAAAAACATTTGTCAATTGTCAAAGTCGATGGTCAACATAGCAGTAAAAAATTTAAAAAAAAGACACAACACACCTTTTTCTTGCAGAATTAATTTTTAACTACAAATAAATCAGACTTTATTCACTGAACGCTTTCTACATTATTTTTGGAGCCAAAAAATCGTATAGTTACGAAATATTTATTTCCAAACGAAAAATGGCATTGATTAAATGGAAATCCATAAATGCGCATGCGTGCAAGACAGTGTTTCCATTAAAATGAGCAACAAGAAGCGATAGCGACGCCAATGTTCAATATTTGAAACTACATCTGTCACGGGGCTGACTTCTCTACGTCTTTATGACGGGAGCTGCGGGCAGCGGGCGGAGGCGGCGGCGGCGCTGAAGAATAGAAACCAGAGGCGATCGATCCGTGAGTTCAGTATTAAATATCATTGTGGTACAGTGACTTTCCAAGCGATTTATACGTAAATTTTCATTTATTGTTCTGGATTTATACCTTAGGAATTCATATTTACCAACCCGTATACTATACTTCTATCAAAAACATAGGATTTTGGAATTGCGCTTAATGGATTCTTCTTAGGCACGTCTTTCCTTGGATTTACGTTTCGAGCCTGTATTTTTCCTATCTTTTTTGTTCAATTCTGCGTCTCAAAGTTTTCGTTTTTGCGTAAATCCTCAATACGTACTAGTGATTTATTTTAAATACTTGTTACATATCGTCGGCAATACCTTATTGAACGATCAATAACAATACAATAATTTCTCTCGGATTTCAGATTTCCGATAAAATCAGCCTCCATTTCAATCTGAATCAAATGCAAGCAATTACTTTTAATTGAACTATCTTGAGATTTGGTGATATACATAAAGATTGGTGGTAGTTTAGCCCTTTGTAACAAGAAAAATCTTTTTTAACATAAAATAATGTTAGCAAGAATAAAATACAAAATGGCTATTGCAAAATAGCTTCCTTTAGTTTTTTTTTATTATCTGAATTCAATTTAAAGTGATAAATACTTCTTAAGCATAAATATTAGATGATTTTGATGTGGAATAAAGTGTTATCTAAAAATAATCGAAATTCTTATTGGATATTAGGTAGACAATTTTGAATCACTTCTATTTTGCAAAATCTACAATATATTAATGCATACTCTGGTTTTACATATCCTAATACTCATTAAACAATCTCAATACAATAAACAATATATGTAACAAGTATATCTTTGTAGGAAATATAATCAATACTGTTGATTCTTTTTTCTACAAACATATTATTCATCTTTACGCCTGACAATTCATCAAATTTGTAAATCTTATTTATATGTTAACTTGGGTTTTGATGCTTTTTTTCTTTAAAAACATTTCACTGCAATTCAGTCCTCTATACACAAACTCCAAAACATCTGGATCATTTGTTTGATTGTATATTTAAAGATTTACTGCTCGATTCTTGAAATGCATAATGGATAAGGGGTTTAAACCCATATGGTCGTGCAGGACGTTAGCTTCTGATGAAGCATCTGCATTGGAGTACTATCTGCAGAAGCAACTTGAAGATGATGTTGCGAGGTAGGTTCAATAGCTACCCTCTGACCTGAAGTTGGTACAGGGAGCTTAGTTACCAAAGAGATGTCCATTTTGACGAGAAGAATTCATAGCCAACAAATGGCAGCTATTCCAAGTGGGTTTCAATAGGAATGAAGTTCACAATTCACTCTTCTATAGATCTATCAGGGCTGCCTATCTCTTGCAGAAATTGTTCAGTCTAAAGCCTAAGATAGCTTTAATGTTACTCCAAGCAGTTTCCCCCTTCTAATCTCTGAATGTCTCTCATCCTTTGATGTTTATGGTGCCTAGATCTAGTCCCATAGGGTTCACTTGTTAGGTGTAGCTCCATGCTCTCGGGTGTACATTAATTCATTCACTCCTTTTGTTTGTGTCTTGCTTTCATGTCATGCAAGATAATTTTAGGATTTTAATAGATGCAAATTCTTATTTAATCTCATACGCCCCAAAAATAAATTTATGGTCAAATTTAGCAGCATTTGTAGTTATTGGAAAACAGAATATGTGTCTCGAGAAGTATTTCAATTTGTTTAAATTATTTTAATTCAGTTGTTTAAAAAATGTAAAGAAACATAGATTGTGAAAAGAAAATATATAGTATTAGAATAGTGAATGAAATAAGTGAAGATATTTGGGATTATATGCGTTAACATGAATGATTAATCTGTTCAATGGAGGCTTATGTATTTTATATTGGAAATTGGAATCAGAATCATTCATGGAGTAGATTTTACTAACATGTTTACGCTAAATTAGTCTTATTACTTACTAACCCAATTTTCTTTATTATAGAATATTCGATGAATCAATTTATTCAGATCTTGAACTAAGTTGTGGCAAACAAAAGTTACTCACACACTCATGTTTACTAAAAGTGCGTACTAATAAATTTTATAACATACTGCAAACAATTTTGCATGTCAATGTTAACCAACATATCTTTGATGAAATATATTCATTCGTAAGGTAAGTTAAAGAACCAGCTGGCTTTGTAGATAACCACATTATATTTTTGTCTTACTTTGTAGTAGTTGCAAAACAATTAACATATATAATTACTGCCGTAACCTACCAAAGCCTATAACCTTAAGATGTCATAACAGCCAAGAGGACAGATGTCTATTCTGCTTACATACTTCAACTTTGTGATATTTAATCAGTTATACTGGTTATGTTTTAAAATTATAGCTACTTGTGACCTCATATTGTTGTTAAGTTTATTATTTTTGAATGTGAGAAGTTAAGGAAACAAGATGGTGTAATTTAATGTCATATTATTCAATTTTCAGTGATGTTTACACCGAATGCAATATAAAACATCAAGAAGCTGAAATTCTACAATACTTGGATGAAAATCTACTGTTTGAGAAAAAGGATGCTTATTACTTAAGCAAGGAAGATTTAACAGATGACAATGAAATATTTTCGACACCAAAATGTCTTAGTCCTTTTACTGAACAAGAATTAAAGGGTAATACATTGAGCCCAAATACTGAATTGAAGAAAGAGTATTATGCATTAGTGCCATTGGATGGCCATTCATTTGATCAAGAAATTGGCGAACAAGACGCTCTGTCGAACGCATTTCAATCTATGATCAACGCCCAGGCTAAGGAAACTATTAAGTTGCAACATTCGCCGCGTAACAAGCCGACATCATTGGCTCTTACATCTAGTCATACAACTAAGCCTATTCAACATTCCAACAGTTGTGATAATTTGGATTGCAAACGCTTTGAAGATGTTGATTTCCAAAATGAAAGAATAAGTAAAAAGGCATTTGGTGAAACGTTTTCCCTAAAAAAATGTAGTGTCGTACCTAACAACGAATTGGTCGATAATTTGAACAACCATTTAAAAACATTCAGTAATGGAGAATCAGCTGTTGAAAAAACACTAGAACCATCGTACACACCAGACAGTTTGATAACTGATGAACCTAGTTCATCATCAGATTATTTGTCTGCTACTTACACTTGTCCGCCAGGAATATATTCCTCAAATTGCCAACCACTTACAAATACTGGGGATTCCTTCACTAAAATGGATTGTATGTTTACACCATCAGATTCGGGTGTAGATAATGGACTATTAGAAAGCCAAAGTAGTCATCGCGATATCACGTTGACTGATTTATCTTTAACTGAAAGTGCCATACAAGACTCTTCATCTGATGATTTAAAGCAGATATTCGGTGGTGCAAATCCAACCGACAACGACTTATCAAAATATAGATATGCTCAGTCAGACAAGGCATCTTTAAGTAGTACATCTACTGAAACTAGTAGTGGGCAAATCGTATGTCGGCCGAATGAGGAGAGACCAATGGTCCGGACAATGGATCTTCAATCATCAAAGGAAGAAAAACAACGACAAAATGAGGAGATTGTTAATCTAGAATCTTCTTCCGTGTCATCTGAAACTGGCTCTTGGGAATCGATATTTCCTCCAAAGTTAGCTGAAAAGGCAATATGCGAGCAGTTTATCTCTCAAGAAAAACAATTATCTATCCATCAAACTGCTATAACTAGGACGCGTATTACTGATTATATGGTAAATAGCTCCCAAAGCTTAGTGCAAAAAATGCCTATTCCATCTGGTTCCTGTTTCATAGACGCTGCTAGCTTAATGGATGAAGATGAGATTGTGGGAATTGAAGAAAGTCAGTTATATTTTGACAATTACAAGAATCGGGAGATTAACAAAGCTGATTCTGTTCTACCAGCTGTAAACGAAACACCTAGTACAAACAATCAAAATGAAGCCGGTAAAAACGATCAGCATAACGAAACCGATAGTTATTCTGAAAGACAAACCAAAGCAGATACAAATGGTTTTGTCGACTGGAAATCGCTTCAAGAAAGGCATAAAAATAGCTCGTCTGTTACAAATGAATGTAAAGAACAGTTTAATTCTTCACATGATCTTGGTAAAGAAGTAAACAAATTTACTGCACTTACATTGGATACTCCACATAATTCAATAAATGTTTCACATCCATTACAACAGAAAAAGTCAACAGATATTGATAAAATAAACAATGATGAAAATAATTGTTCACCGAAAGAAGATAAACCAGCGAATGAAGAAAAATCTAGTCACACATTTTACATCGACTTCTCCAGTTTACCTGATCCACTCCCCGCAGAGGATACCAAAGCTAGTGAAACGCAGTCAGAGAAAAAGAACATGTTTTCAATGTTTATTGATCTAGGAGAAACATCAAAATTGAAAAAAATACCTGCAAGGCTTTCGTCTCTGTTTCCCCCGAAGAAGAATGCAAAAGAAAAATCACTGATTGAACAAAATAGTACAGCATCTTTTGAGAGTTGCGAGATGTTATGCAAAGATACTTCTTTGACAATATCAGAAATTGTTGCCATTCATAACCGTATGGAATCTGAAAAGCAAACGGTTTGTGCTAAACAATCCGAGCCTTTAAAAGACAAGCCTATGGAATCGATATCAGAAAACGTTGTTGATAAAGTGACAAATACTAAGGATTCTGACCTTTTTGTGAAGCTCTCGGATTTAGACAAGACTCCGATGAAAGCCGATTTTTCGCGGATCTTGCAAAGAAATAGTGAAGGATTGGATGTAAGGATGACAAGATCGATACCAGACAATAACTGGCGGGTTAGTCATACATCAACATTTAGATCTACAGAAATCGTTAGCTCTTTCCATTCTGAGAATGCATTGAGCTTAAATCGTTTATTCCCTCACTTGAAAGATCAATTGGTTAGTAGAAGTATGCCTGGATCGCAAAGACCTCTGTACTATTCAAACACGGGAGGGACTTCTGATTCTGATGAACTGGTATCATATACAACCAATGAACAAACTACAGTTGCCCGAACAACTGCTTTAACAACTGGTAAGCTAATATTATATCTACATATGAATTAATATAATCTTAACTTACAAGCATAACAATAATAAATGTTAATCTTATTATAAAATAGTTTCAGTGAAAGATACAACTACAGCTCTAACTGGAGAAGAATTAGCAAAATTGTATGAATTAATGGCATCCTGTCAATCACCATTAGGACAAGATTTATTGAGGATGTTCATCGAGGAAATAGCACCTGATGTTTTGGTTGAATGCAGTGGAAGGCGAATTAAGGCACACAAATGCATATTAATTTCAAGGTAAATTTTTGTGATTTCGATTAAATTTCTTTAAATGTTAATGCTTAAACCTTTGGTAAATGTATTATTTTTTGACAGATGTCAGTATTTTGCTGGTATCTTGAGCGGCACTCGGATTGAAGCTGCAGGCAATGTTATTATGATGCCACCGTAAGTACAGTCTTAATTGCATGTGATTTTTAATAAAAGTAAGAAGTTAAAAGAATACACAAATGTAACATTTCGTTTTGCAGGTTCTCTCAAGAAGTATTCCTATTTGTTCTTTGCTACATTTACTCCGGCATATCAGTAATACCAAGTACAATGAATATCGTTGAACTGGTAACGCTGAGTGATATGCTGCGTTTGGAAGGACTTAAAGAAGCAATTATGCTTAATCTAAAAACGAAATATTGCCATCACTTCCATAGTGTAAGTATACGATTAAAACAGATTGAATTCAAAATTATTAATTTTATAATGAGACTAAAAAGGTATCCATGTTATAAACTGTTTTTGTTTTTCAGCCTTGCGATGTTTGCATAGCCGGCGTGCTTGAAAGTTTTCATCTATCATCGATGTATTCGTTGGACGATCTTTGTCATAAATGTCTAGAGTGGATCACACAATATTTTCCAGTAGTGTGGCCTACAAAAGCTTTTTCAACAATGAATGATTACTTAGTGGAAAAATGTGTCAGAGCTCTGGTGGATGACATCGCACCTGATACCTTTGTGCCAATAGTGTTTGGATTGGGAATGACATGTTAGTTTTTTTTTAAATTGTTTTACTGTTTTTTAAATTCATACTCTATGGTCAAGTGTAACTAATAAATACATATTATAAAGCTATATTATCATTTTCAGTGTGTGCGATGGAGGGCATAAAATGGGCAAAGAACACCGAGAAGCATTGTCATCGTGTGATGGAAACTGCAATCAGGTATGCTGCGAAAAACCTTGAGATGCTAATGAAGGAGATGGCACCTTTATCGGCTGATGCCCATAATGCGGCCCAAGAAGCTCTAGAGAAGTGCATGAAGTGTGCCATCGAAAGAGCGCCGGGAGAGGAACTTTGCCGGACATACATTTTGTTGGGTGAGCTGATAGAGGAACAAGGAGACAGCGGCGCACTGTATGAACAAAGATCAGAACCTCGATCGATCCTGTATGTCTACGGGTACTACTGGCAAGATTGCTGCGAAAGCGCTTTGGCATGCGCGTCACCGAGGGTTGCTCGAACTCAAGCATACAAGGACTTACCTTATGAGCTCAAACGAAAGTTGCGTTTGCTTAGTCCGCAAGATGCCCTAAGTCCCATGAGAAATAAAGACGTTTATACAAACGTGAAAAGCGTCAGACCCCAGCTGGCTATTCCACAGGCGGTAACGCCACTATCTAAAGTGGTCCCCAATAAAACGACGGAACTTAAAAAGTCGCCTACGACCTGCATTTCGGCTGTGCGTACAACTAAAGCCCAGGAGCAGAGGACAAAGTTCAACATATTAAAAAAGAAACTAACCGAGGAACGCGATAATAATAATAGAGGCGCTATCCCTCGTCAAAACTTCTCTCCGAAGAGGCGATCCAAATCAACGGAGGCCAAAAATGCGAAAACTGACAAGAAAGTTCCTTCTCAGGGAACGGCTGCTCAAATGAATTCGTCAGGAAACTCCAGCCCAAATGATTCCGCAAAGGAGAAATTGTCCTCACGCAGCAATGTAGCCGGACCATCGCGCCCGAAGACCGCTGATCCTACTCCCGAAGCGGTTAATGAAAACAACATGTATGCTACATACACAAAATCGTCTCGCCCAAAGAGAGAATCCGGTGAACGTAAGTTTCCTATGTTATCTCCAATAAAACAGTGGTTTTATCTTTACAACTTATTGTTTTCCAGCACTTGTTTTAAAACAAACTATTTTTTACAGGTACACTCCCACAAACTAAGCTGCCTACGTATAAATATTCGTCGATTTCACATAGGCATCATGATATGTCTGAAAACATGCCTGGTACATCAAAACGTCCAGACGTCTTCAAGGCTTTGCCTTCTACATCTTCAGCGATCCCTGCACCGGTGCAGAAATACGATGAACCTGCGAGGAAACTGTGCAGTCTGGTCAAACCACGCTCTAACAATCAACTGTTGAAAGACCAATCTGGTTCATTGAACGTTCAACATTCTGAACGCATGTCCTGTACTTCACCGCTGAGAGGATCTTCAGCGCCGATTCACAAGGAGGTATCTAAGGAAGTCGCTGGTCCTTCGAGCCGACCGCTATCGTTCAACGTACCAGTGCCGAAATGCGACCACTACTCGAACCGCTTGGATAAAGGAGCTCTAAACAACCGACCTCCAGCAGCAAAAACTCCGACTGTACATAAGATGAGTGGATCCTTTACAAAAGCTACTAAATCCAGCCAAGCTAAAGCTGTCTCGAAAGTAAACAATGATGGAAATGGAATATCAAAATTCGCGAAACAACCAGTGAAACCCAACAATAGACAGGCCGCTGCTCGTAACGGACGACCTCTGAAGGACCGGTCGCGCACCTGGTCAAAAGACGAACCTAAAGACGACATTGACGATCAAGCATTCCAAGAGGATCATTAAATATATCTGCTTAATTTACTCGTCTTATAGCTGTTTTATCTGTATATGTGTCTATAGTATGATGTATATTTTAATATGAATGTCTATATGTGTATAATCACCAGTTACTTAAAAATTGTAGTAGATGAATATTAATATTAATCAAGTCGGAAATTACGATTAAGGTTAACGCGCATTTGTGTCATCCTCGTCTACCGGGTACCAGCCCGTCTCGTCATCACTTCGACGTTCATTCCACGACACCTATACTTCGCCGGTAAGAACGGGATAAAGATAAACATTTGTTAGCAAAATAATGTCATTTCCAGTCGCCCACTTGCCACTCGTCGATTTTGCAGAAAAAAATGAATTATTTCGGTTCCACGATAAAATTCAAAACAAAAGCATAAATTTGAGATTGTCAATTGTAATTTTCGAGTTACAATCGTAATAGAAAATTAGATTAAAACGAAGTAATGACGCAGATAAAAAGTTTTTAAAACTACAAATACAATTTAAGAAATAACGGTAGAAAATAATTGTGACTTTATAAGTAATTTAAATTTTCTTTATTTTGGACGAAAGCGCGTTAACCTTTATTCATAACTTCTACAAATTAATTCTCAACAAGTTTCGTAGTTTAGTTAATTGTCGAACATTGATGTTGATATATCAGATATTCATGAATTAAATTAGACTCTCCTATGGCTTAAACTTTAAACTTAAGAAATAGCTTAAGTCCCCTCTGTCTATAAACCTCCACTCGTATAGAAATCTAAATGTTTATAATAGTTTTATGTAATAGCAAAGAGCTTCGCAATTATTATTAGCGCCTATTATGATAGACGATTTGATCGTATTTTATTTACTATCGATGTGCTAAAGTTGTAAATTATTTTTTTTAATTTGCAGATTATTGTAAAATAATTCAAATCTCTTTTACACACGTATGTATTGTAAGTTATATGACTAATGACATTATTATTTATTTTTTATTTATTGACTTTTATATAGTAAGTTAAGTTTACATTTTTACTTAATTTGATAGAAATTATTTTAATTAGTTATAAAGAGAGAATTATTTTTATTACTATTAAACGACATAATAATCGATTTATATTCGAGGAAAGGAAGAAAAAACATCACACATCCCTATTAAATAAGTGAAAGTTTTATTTTGATCTCATTGATACACAGTAGTATTTAATATTAAATAATAAGTTGTCTGCATCACAATATTGTTTGAAGTTGAAAATGTCGGCTCATTCCATATTTTTGTATAATGCAATTTTAATTATTAATATATGTAATTTAATTATAAATTTGTATTATGTATGTAAGGTTTAAGTTGATTTGGTGCTTTGGTAATTCGGTTGTATTATTTTTTAGAATTTAATCTTTAATTTAATAGGTACAATAGTAAACGTAGCCATTGCGACGAGTTCTGTCGTGTCGTGTCCCCACACTTTCCCTATAGTTCGTCCTACCAAAGTGCGCCAGTTTCTGATTCTTGCAATGAATGTTATCTTTAGATTAAGATCGATGTGTTTGCATTTAATTTCTAGTCTTAGATTAAAAGCTTCAATATATGTATTCATTAAATGTTAAACCGAATATTATTGTACTTAGAAATTCCATTGAAATATATATCATCATCTTTGTCAGCCATAGGTCGTCCACTGCTGAACGTAGGCCTCCCTCAATGATTGCCACAATGCCCGGTTCTATGCTGCCCGCACCCAGTACACTTCCGCAATCTTGACCACGTCATCGGTCCATCTTGCGGGAGGCCTACCTTCGCTACGACGACCTATCCGTGGCCGCTACTCCAAGAATAGCCGTTTTAACACGGTTTGTGTTAAACTAGCGTATATCGCGCTTAATGTTCTTCGAGATCTGTCTGTTTAAGCCGATACTGCTACACATCTTCTGGAGTGTGCAGGGTCAGGTCACGCCTTTCCTTCATGAGCACCATGAAGCTAGCCAGTAAGTAGCCCCGGTGGTTACGACGTCCATATCCAAAATTACCCACTCGCAGCTCGCCCAGTTTCCCGTTGAAACCTCCCATGACAACGGCGTAGAAGGTTTTGGAACTATGTATGGCTCGTGAGATACTCTTATACATAGTTTCCACCTCATCGTCGGTCGCAGTGAAGTGAGTTGCAAGTTACTGGGAAGTACAAGGCTCGTTAGTTCTCATAATTTAAATAAATAAATAAATAATTTTTATTATTAAATCAAATCAATTATAATGTATCTCGTTGAATTCTTAGCAGCAAATTAAATGGGTGAGCAATAGCTCAATGATTTAAGGCTATGTGAGCTGCTTTTAATACTCATTTGATCTATAGACTGACAAGGATATCTGAGAGTTATCGAATGTTTGTAAGAACGTTTTTACGACGTCATCGACAAAAGAACCCTAATAATTCTCATATTTTGTCGATGAAGTTACGAATACGACCTCGTAACTGTCAGAATTATTAGAGATAGTCCCTCTGTCCCAGAGAAGGCCGCTGCTGCTGCATAGAAAATAAAATAAAGTAATACAGGTACAGTACGAAAAGTATTTTGTGATACCTTTTTGACATTAACAGAAGTGTGCTATCGACCTGTCATAATTTAGTTTGATGTATACCAACTGGGTCAGAAAACTTGTCATTCTATAGCTTTATGGTTTCTACAACTTCAAATAATTCACAGTTATACTTCGGTGCTGCGATATCTATATCTATACTATTATAATGAAGCGTAAACACACCCTTCTTTGTTGCCTAAGATGTCAGCAATCACAGCATATTTTTGAATAATTCTTTTTTTAATAAAAAGCTCTACACTTACGTCACGCTTTAGGCTATATATTTTCACGCCATTAAACTTAGGGGGTAATGTTTTATATAAAAATCCTAATGTAGGAAAGGGACCATACGATACTAACTGCCAACTTCAAGAAGCAAGATTGCCATAGTAAGAATAACAAACTTTTTATAATTTCATGCGGATGAAGCCGCACGGGAACAGCTAGTTCACAATAAAATGAAATAAAAGGGTATTTGGAATAAAGAAATAGACGAATAGTAAAAAATATTTTATTATCGAAAAATACAAATACTACAAAACATGCAACAAACAATCCAACATGAATTATAAATTTGTATATTCTTAAAAAAATATATGCACACCTGAGTTATATTTTTATACATCACACTATATCTTATATATTTCTTGTTAAAAGAATAAGATGTATCTAACATCCAAGTTAAAACACTAAAAACTTTAATTAGTTAGCTGTTATAAAAAGTGGATTATGCATTAGTTTGTTTAGCTGCGGTCAAAAGTTCCCTGGAAATGATGAGCCTTTGAATTTGTGAGGTGCCTTCGTAAATCTGATAGATTTTGGCGTCTCTCATGAGTTTTTCTACAGGATATTCTGTATTGAAGCCATTACCGCCGAATACTTGAACAGCATCAGACGCCGCTTTGTTTGCAATCTCTGAAGCGTGGCATTTCGCCACCGATGCCATTACCGTGTTCTTTTGACCTGCGTAAAGATGTAGGGTTAGCACAATAGCTTAGGGAATTAAAAAATGAAGTAGCCTAATAAAATTTATCGAGTTTCGTAAAACCGATATGAAAACATCTGTCTAAGGTATAGAATTTATAATTTAGTGGGAAGTATCTTTTTAATTATTTGTTGTTAAATAATAAGAAAATTTGGAAACACTCTGGCTATAGGAGATATCATTGTTGAATATTATTAATGCGGAAACAGGAGTATAATAAAAAAAAAATATAAACTCAAAGTATTTCATAACTATTGCAAAGTCTTACTAATGGCTGGCATGATATGGACACATTATGCGGAGAGGTTTTTGCAATTTAAAAAAAAAAAAAAGATGACAAACAAGAAAGTATGGATGTATGTTGCAGAGGACATACTTACTGGAATTCATATTACGGGTGCTAGAGACGTGAAAGAGCAGTACTGTGCTGACGTATGAGAATAAAAGCGGTTTGATGATAGTCTTACCATGGTCTACCATCCAGGCAGAGCGTTGCCACGCCAAGCGAGCTGTTTCTACGCCGATGGCCATATCAGCTAGGAGAAACGCGACCGCTTGATGATGTGCGATAGGAACACCGAATGTCTTGCGTTCTAATGAATACCGCGTTGCCTCATCCAACGCACGCTGCGCAAGACCCGTCGCCCCAGCAGCAACCTGGATGTTTTCAAATAATATATCAGAAAAAAATCTATTTAAATTCAAGTAAATGTTAAAACAGAAGTGCTGCTAAGCGAAGTTCTTGTAGAACTTCGGTCATACTGATACGAAGACATTTAAAAAACATATAGACTAGACATAGTGAACATCTTTTTACGGCTAACTTCTTTGAAAGATAAGTTAGTTGCCAAATTTAGTATGCCACCTCCTGTCCTTGTATTGCCATGTTATAAAACATTTTACAATATTACAATAAGCTTATTAAACTCCATCTTTACTAAAATATATACATTTAAATATTATTCAGTGACCCCTGTTGGCAAGTAATTACAATGCAGTATTTAATTTGAGGATCTCTTAATATACAGCGTCAGTGAGGATCTTATGAATTTCAATAATTAGCAATTCTGATAACATCCCCCTAGCCGTTACATATATTTTACAATAGAACGTAGCACAAGAGAAAATGCCTAATTATAAAATGATATTTTAACAAATAGACAGTTAAAAAAATGAATATATGTGTATTTCACTAACCGGTGGTCTTGTTTTATCAAACGCGCCCATAGCAATCTTGAAGCCAGCGCCTTCCCCAATAAGGACATTCTCTTTCGGAATACGGACATCTTCAAAAGTGATACCTCGAGTGTCGGACGCTCGCTGGCCCATGTTTTGTTCCTGTTAAAATAACATTATAGTACAAAAAACTGTTCTGGGCAGGGTTCCCATTTTATAAACCTGGATGGAATCTAAATTATTTTGTATTACCTTCCGTCCGGGTGTAACTCCGGCCCACTCCCTCTCCACAATGAAACCAGTGAAAGCCTTGCTCGCCGGGCACTTCGGATCTGGATTGGTTCTAGCCAGAACGAAATACCTACACAGTACACATAACCAAACAACTTTCACATGTTTACTAATAATTTTATGGCTTTCAATCGATATTAAAAACGATCTCTCTTTTACTCATTTTACGTTATACGAGAAGTAGTTAAAAAGAGTAGAAAACGAGGGAGAAAGAGACATAAGCCCTCTTGTTTCCCCTTTTTTTTTCTCTACTAATATCTTCAAAGTGGAATATTTACATTTTTGTATTGAAATAACTCATTACTGGGCCGATTTTAAAGTTTCTTTCACCATTAAAAGGCTACCTTACCACTAAGTAACATAGGCTATGTTTTTTTTTTATATTATTAATTTTACGCGATGTCGTGAACAACAGCTAGTATAGTTATAACATACCAGTTAGCGACACCTCCATTGGTGATCCACATCTTCTGGCCGTTGAGAATCCATTCATCTCCCTTCTTCTCTGCACGAGTCTTTATACCAGCTACATCGGAACCCGCCCCGGGCTCGGTTACACCATACGCCTGTATTCATATAAGACTCAGATATCCTCTTATGTGACTAAGTTCTACACTTTTAAAAACATTCCAAGCTCTTTTACTAAATACCTTCACTGCTGATTATTTTATTAATTTTCTTAATTTTTACAAATAGAATGAAAAGATAGAAGATAGAAGAATTTTGAAATAACAAGAACTATTATAATCTCAGATATAAAATACAATTATTATTAAATTATCAATTTAATTTCTTTTAGAAGTGTTCCAAGTACTCACAGCAACAAGGGGTTCGTCAATAAGTCTTCCGAGATATTTCTTTTGCTGTTCTTTATTGCCAGCAATAATAACTGGAGTTTGCTGAAAAATATAAATAATCATTAAAAAGCGTTTTACTACAATACGATTATATTTAAGAATCCAAATAAGTAACAAAAATTTAAAATAAAATAAAAACAAGGTAAAGAATTTAACTTTCACCACAGATTCTTAAAGCAATTTAAATTAATAATAAAATCATCTGTGTTATAGAAGATTTATAAATTTGTCGATATTTAAGTAATTCACAAAACAAAAAAAAATCCAAGGGCAATAAAACAACAATATAAAAGTTAATAATCAATAACTATTAGTAGGCGTTATCTTTGTCATTCGTTTTATTCGTTATATTAATATTACCCAGAATGCAAGTTGCAACAAAACAAACACATGCACACGAAGAAAAGAAGCATGTTAGTATGGTGCGAGCAAAAACAAACTTAACGGTGCACAAAAAAAAGCTGGAAATACAAATCAATTTTATATAAACACATATAAATACACATGTGACAATCTGAGATAATACTGATTACAATCTAAAAACGTTATCCACCAACTTGTGGATAAAAATATTGTGCTCAGTACCATTTGAAAAAATAACGACAACGGATTTCCAGAGTATAACCAACACAACGTAGTTCAGTGCCAAAAATATTAATAACCCAAGTGCAAAACGGATTAGATTGGTGCATATTGTGTTGTTAAGTTTCGACATGCAACTCACTCCTAGACCGCTAGCTTCCATAGCGGTCATAATTCCAGTGCAACCGTACGCCAATTCTTCAGCAACCATACAACCGTCAAACACACCCAGATCCAAGCCACCTGTAAGTATTGTGAGGTCCTTCTAGAGTGGGTGACACACATCCTTACGTTTTGGTGCGAGTGAAATATAAAGCAGTGACACACAGTCATAAATGTTGAGTTGCTTATAAAATTCCGAAAGATTTTTTATATATCCGAGTTTATAATCATCAAGATAATTAATTATTGCCTCATGGCAAAGATTTAATCGTTTTTAGACACCGTATAAGTATTAAAAACTCAAGCGCAATCCTTACGAAATTAAAATGAAAATTATTACATCTCAATACAAATGCTACAAGACTGTTCACTTTTAGAGGGAACAAAAAATATGTAGGACCATTTGGTAATTCTGCAGTTCTTTTCCCTATCTACTGTAAAAAAAGACAGGTCAAAATTTTTAGATCTGCGGGACCACAAAGATATCCTAGTTCCATATCAAAGCAATGAAATAAAATTATTGCTACTTAGGAACCGGTTGAAAAACTACAAAACTTCAAACCAACAATTTTAGGTAGTTTTATACCATAAAATCCAAGGACATAACTCAAGTGTGAGAAAAAGTAACACAATTGCAAGGAACTTGTTTGGTTGAATTTTTTTTTCTCATGATATTAAGCAGTTTTAGGCATACATAAAGCGAGTACATTAAACATATAAGTGAAATTATCTTAAAATGACAACACATTAATAAAATACAAGTTTGGCCAGTTAGTATTTAGTAAAATGAACCGTTTATGTTACTTAAATATATTGTTACAATTATTGTATTAAAACAACTTGTATGAATTTAAATTTCATGCTTCATGGAACAGGAAACCTTTACAAAGTAAATCTATACTTCTATACTAATAAGAAAAAGCGTAACACACACTACTTCGTGGCGTAGGATGTCAGCAGTCGCAGCATATTTTTGAATAATTCTTTCTTTAAATAAAATCCTACACTTACGACACGTTTTAGGCAATATATTTTCATGCTATTAAACTTGGGTAAATAAATTGGAAATAAACTTTCATGTGGGAAAGGGACCTTAAACTACAAGCATCCAACATTGAGGAAGCAAGGTTATTATGGTTACGGTGATTTTGACATTTTTGAGAATTGAGAATTTGATAAATTGAGCATTCGACATATTTAAGTACTTATAATTTAAGAATTTTAGACTTAACAAGTTATTGTTAAATATCATTTTGTTAATTAAATTATACATATTAACAGTTATATAAATACTAAAGTGGGTGCATTAGCAGCATGAATAGACAATGCATTAAAATTAATGTACACAGAAGCACATTTATCCCTTTTCAAGGCAGTTACACCTTGATACAGCCAATGTGATTAATATTTTGTTTTCATTATGACTCACTCCAAGACCAGTTCCTCCAATAGCAGTAGTTATGCCTGTGCAGCCGAACGCAAATTCTTCAGCCGTAAGACACTCTTCAAAAACACCAAAGTTTCCCATACCCCCTGTAATTTACCCATCAACGAAACAAATTTGAATGAACATAATCGAATTTTTTTTTACACATCCGCAGTTCATTCTATTTAATGTTTATTAAGAGTAATTATTGTTGAGAATATTTTGTATTGTTTCATATCTTGATGTATATATATAGTAAATTTGTTACACTACAGTAGGTTCTTTTTATTTATTATTTTAACAAAATATTATTTTAGCGAGTTTTCTTTAAAGTGGCAAGATTTTGGAAACTCAATAGAGAATAGGTAATTTAAGATATTTTAAATGCTTTAAATTTCAACTTCCATAGGCCCTATTGTTAACTCTTAGTGACCAAAAACAAGTATTAACTAGCCGTTGGCCGCGACTTCGTCAGCGCAAAAATTAAAGTTGCCTAAATTAAATCGGCTAAGTCTATTTCAGTAAGTCTCATCAACATAACACACAGAAAAATAATGTAAAAATTATAATTTCGTTATAAGCAACCCAAAAACATCATGTATGCAAAATAGTTTTTCTCATTACATACAGACAGTCCAATTTTATTAACTGTAGATAGAAAGATATAATAATATTCATGCGACCTCAAAACCGTCCAAGTACATTAACAAACCATAACTGTATGACACAAGTATTAATTCCAATTAAAAATATTGTAAGCCATATTTAATTTTCGACGCTCACTCCGATATCACTGATGAATAGAGCGGCCATAATTCCTGAGCATCCATATCCAGTCGCTTCACAAATAATACCTGATTCCATGACACCTAAACCCATACCCCCTGTAAACGTCGTATTGTAGAAATCAAATTACCACTCATTTACACACTCTGTATTCATGTATCAACATTGGTAATAAAATATGAACACACTAAACATTTGCAAAAAGTAATACCAAATTTCAGTCTTCACTGTCTGTCACCAGTCTTTAAGTCTATATTAATAGACTACTAAATAACTTACCAACATATTAAATTTAACAATGAATTTTCTTAATAAAGTGTTATAAAAGATATACTTGTTCACAAGTAGGAATAAATGAACTAAAATTCACAGGAATTAGATAATTCTAATCTATCAATGGTTTAACACATGTAATTTTAACTATTAAAAAGAATTAACAATACATTACCGCAATGTTCCGGAATGTGTCCATTCATAAGTCCAAGCTCCCATGCCTTCTTGACAATCGGCCAAGGATATTCACCAGTTTTGTCATACTGAGCAGCCGATGGTATTATTTCTTCCTTGGTGAACTTACGCGCCAGATCCTGCAGTGCTTTCTGCTCATCATTTAATTCTGTGGACATATTTAAGCCATTAATTATTTTTGTACAAAAAAACTACAATTTTCATGTACATTATTCAGGCAATAAAACCTTAGAGGTTACAATAAAATCTTGTAGAATAAACAAACAGATTAAATGGATTGTGAGCAATTACATTGTTTGTATAACATAAAGGTCATTAGCATTCAGAGATCTGTGAAGAAAATAAATGTCAATAAACACATTTAAAATAAGTATAATAATACTAGTCTTTAGTCCGCGAATTTGTCCGCATGGTATTTTAAAAAACAAAAGTAAGTAACATATGTGTTCTTCCAGACTATCCTCTATATCTATGACAAATATCACCAAGATTTGATAGTCATATAAAATGTTATGCAATGAAAAACATTAATGGTGCAATATTTGCTACTATACCTATGTTTCGGAGAATATATATAATAAGTTGTACATGTAAATAATTTGAAACATAGAGTTACTGTATGATAGTAAGCACATTTTTTTAATTACTTATACTTCATAGATTAATTACACAATTGAATTTGAAACCCTTAAACAGATAATAAAAGGTGATGTTCAAAGGTCAATTGAATAATTTATCACTTCAGTTTACAATCAGTATATATCTTTTCTTTAAATAGTGTGATAATCTATTGCCACTTTAATATCATAGAGTATACAATTGAATAAATCTTATCAGTAAGATTGGAATTCCAACAATTTTTAAAGTTCATTTCAAATAAACTAGAATAACTAACTAACATTCTCAACATTTCATTGTCTACATTATTAACTGAGGAGTATTAATATACCTAGTCTATGACATTTTGAAGCCTAACTTTCTATCTGTGTTTTAGAATATTCTTTGCTACTATATAATGACTTATTAAAGTATCAAGGATGTTCAATGTTAACACTATTTGAAAATGGAACAATAAAGCACATGTTAAAAGGCAACCACAATATTACGTTAACATTAAAACTGAGAGAATAATGATTTCTGATTTCGTTCTGAATAAAATGTTATGATTAATATTGAAACATAACAAACCAAAACAAAATCCAGTTGTAGGAATAGGTTTCGCTGAGGCAACAGCGGCAGTTGTAGACAGACTTCGGTAGATGGGCCGTGTTGTACGTAAAACCTTAAAAACAAAATTACAATTATTATAATTATTTTTTTAAAATCGCATAGGACAAATTTCTACGACGATGGAATAAAACTGAAAGGTTGCATCTATCCTACTAAAGTTTAAGCGTGAGGTTAAAGTCCAAAAGTAAACATTGAAATTCTACCAACTATCACATTTGCTGAATGCCATATCCCCAACATGAGTTTTCACTCATAAAGGCTCGCAACACAAATAGGATCATAATTATTGATAAAGAATTGTGATTTATAGGTTTACGAACTCGAGGAGAAACTTTTACTAGTTTTGATGTCTTTCAAACTAATACAAGTGCGTCTACGTAACTTTGATTAATAATGGATCGAGAAATACAAACTATGAACATTCATTATTTAACAATTATTTTCTTTTTCAGTAGAAACTAGTATCATTTACTTACTTTTGACATGGGGTTCATTTTAATAATTCTTTAAATTAAGTGCAAAACTTAAATGCCCTTACGACTCAAAGTCTTTGGACTTTGAACTGTAACTACGATTAATAACTAAAATCACTCAATGAAGCAAGCGAGAAAGTAGCACAGTGTCACAAAGGCAAGCTGGCAGCCAAATGCCAAATTCAACGATTGATTCAAAGAGTAGATCAAAGAGTATATATAAGTCAAAAGTCAGAGTTGCCATAGCGTTGCTAATAAACTCAAAGTAATTAAGTGACTGAAGAGTTCGTTCGATAAAATTGGTACAGTTCCTGAAACACGAAATTATAGAATTAACCTATTAATCACGTAAGGTAGTTTTATATTTTTTTTTAGGACGTTAATCATCATCAGGTCACTATAAGCTCGGAGCCTGTTGTAAGTTAGGGATGATTAGGACCTAGTCAACCACACTGGCCCCGTGACAGTTGGTTGAGTTCACTTATATCTCTGAGTTTCTCCGCCAATAGATGAAGCATCACGTTGTTTTCTTTCACTGTAAGAATATCGGATTATTTATGTACAAATGCAATTCGGAAGTCTAATGACGCATTGGTAAATGGCGGGATTCGAATCCAGAACTAACAGATAATAAGTAAAGTGCTTCACCACCGACTCTTGAGGACAATGACATGACTAAATTCCTATCGAAAGTTTTTTGATACTCATTCTTATCAATCATAAATGGATTCTCCGAATACTACAAGTATCGATAAATTCCTTTTTTTATACTACGACTTATCAGTCAATGCCTAGCCTGCAATGTGTAGCCTACAGCGAAGACAACAAATTATTGGCACCATGCTTGTATCACTGTGGAGCGTACATTATTATCTGTGCATCTGTCATTCTACTGATCTGCATTAGAAAAATTCTGTGATTCTGTGCTCTACGTAGTCTTTGGTTCTATGGTGTAGTCAATTTGTTTAAAATAGCGTCCAAAGATATTTGCAACTAATGTAAATTAAATTTAAATGTTATAGAAGGAGAGAGTAAATGTGAAACGTGTTTACGTGTAATGGCAGTGATGTAGTTCCTTTTATGTGAATAGGGGTGAAAGAGACATTGATTACCAGTGGTTAGCTAAACAAGTGTGGATTGCTGGTATCTCGGAATGTGGCATAATCAGGCTGTGTTATGAATGAGGAAGCACTTTTGTCACGGGCTTCCGAGGAGCGGGAGCTCATCTTCGAGCGATATGAACGCGGACGAGATAATCTCGTCGGTCAAATAGACCCTTGGGAAGATCCTGAATTCGAGGAATACCATAAAACTGATAGGTATGTCTTTTTGTGGCTTTATCAATTCAAATTTTATGCACATATATTTATAGAAAAGGTCTAAAGAGACAGTAGTTGTAAATTTCTCTATGTTTAATAGAATAGATTTCACATATGTTAACATTTGCCTTACAGAACTTGTGTCATAGAAAATTTATAATAATGCATCATAAATTTAGAAATTTATTTATATTTATTTATTAGTTTTATACTCTTTATGTGAAAACCAACACATTAGTACTGTTTTTTTTAACTAATGTCTTAAGAAACATATCTTAGTCATTCCATTAAATACTGGTATGTCAAGTGAAAGCTTCTCTAATTTGTAACCAAACAATGTCAGTTGAGTTGAGCAGTTTACTTTCGACTAGGTTTAAGTGGATTGATTATTACATGTGGGTAAAGTTACTGAAATTGAACTACCACTAAGAATTTAAAACATCTAAATTTCTAATACTGCACCTCTTTATATTATACAAGACTAGTTGTTGCCCACAACTTTAATGAATTAAGAAAAACTTTTTTTTTTTCATACATGTTCTTTCAGGCAGTGTTCTATATTTATACAAAATTGCATCCAGATCCATGCAGCTGTTTTAGATATATTGTCTAACATACATCCATCCATCCAAACATTCTAATAATATTACCATGGCTTAATTACTGTTGAATACAATGTGTTTTATCTGATTAAAAAAAAATCAATAAATTTAGATTTTGTTTATAACTTAAATAGTAAATATGTCAGTTTTACACTTGTTATAGTTTACCAACATAAATTCTCTTTTAAGAATACTTTTTTAGCAACTTTGATACTGAACTGACTAATAAAGTATGAATAAACATTTTTTTACTCATCAGTTATGTTATGTCAAAGAATCAAATGTATGATTGTAAACTTTGAGATACACATATATCCAGTCATCATCATTCTCGTTATCTTACTCCCGTAGGGTTGGTGCATCAGGTTTTTGTCCTCCAAATATACAATACACATATATCCACTGTTTAAGATAATTCTACACATAACAAGTTCACACATTTCATGTATTCCCCTGGTGTGACTTACTTTGATAATGTTAGTTCATATCAACACATGTGCATTGGTTAAGATAAAATTTGTTAACACAGTGATTTGTAAGAGATCATAATTGTGTAGTTTTATATTGGTGTAAGTATGAAAAAAGTTGGGATAAATTAAGATGGATGTTTTCAGATATGGCTTTATTCATGATGAACGCTTACCCCAGAAAACGGCACCACAAAAGGTTAATGCCGAAGTGGAGAGAGAGAAAAAGTGGATCAAAATGCTGTCTCAATGGGACTCTCCATCAACAAAAGAAAAATTGCATAGAAGAATATACAAAGGCATTCCATTATCGTTAAGAATGAATGTATGGAGTAAATTATTGGATATCAATAGGATAAAATCAGAAAATGTCGGGAAATATCAAAAAATGCTTAAATTAGCTAAGGCTTGGTCGACAGATGTTAGACAAATAGATTCTGATGTAAATAGACAGTTTCGAGAACATCAATTTTACAGAGAAAGATATTCAGAAAAACAATGCTCTTTATTTAATGTGCTTTGTGCATACAGCATGTTTAATTCCGAAGTTGGTTACTGCCAAGGTATGTCTGGATTGGCTGGAGTATTATTAATGTATATGGATGAAGAAGATGCATTCTGGGCACTTGCAGTTCTCTTAACTGACAAGAGGTACTGCATGCATGGCCTTTACATTGAGGGTTTCCCTAAGTTAACCAGGTTTTTGGAACACCATGACAAGATTCTAACTAAATTTATGCCAAAACTGAAACAACATTTTGATAAGTTTGGCTTGGATGCAATACTCTATTCTCTCAAATGGTTCTTTGTATGTTTCGTAGAGCGAGTTCCATTTAGCTTGTGTTTGAGAGTTTGGGATATTTATCTTCTTGATGGTGAAAGGGTGATAACGGCAATGGCTTATACAATATTAAAACTGCATAAAAAGACAATAATGAAGTTAAATGATATGGATTTAATTGTCAATTACATTCAAGTAAGTCAACAAATACTTTTGTTAATCTGAATATGTTGTACCTTATTAAATGTAACTAATACACATTTATTGCCAGGTGAAGTTGCACAAAGATTTTGGCTATGAAGATGATGTTGTGATATACCATTTGGAGAGATCTATGGAAGAATTGAAGCGAGCAAAGCTGGATTATCCAGGACAGCCGCCTCCTAGTGAATTACCAAAGCGATCGCTTGGCATGTTTGTTGAGCCTGATAAGAGATCTAAGATTGGACAGCGTGCTGAAAATTTTTCGGAGAGAGAGAAACAAGCTCGAGCAGCTGTTATCTCAAGGTGAGATCAGGATTTTTTACCTATTCATATGTTGAGTAGTGTTTTATGATACTTATTTTAAACTAGCTGTTCCCATGCGGCTTCATCTCCATGAAATTATAAAAACTTTATTTTATTGTTTTCATTTGTTAATTTTTCAATTGCAAATGTCAAAATTACCCTTACAGCTTGTTGTTTATGGTCCCTTTCCCACATGAAGGTTTTTTCCAATTTATTTACCCCCTAAGTTTAATAACGTGAAAATATATATCCAAAAGAGAGAATTATTCATAAATATGGTGTAATTGCTGACATCCTACACCACGAAGTAGTGTGTGTTTACGCTTTATTATACTAGTATAGATTTAAATATGTTGTTACAGACGTGAAAAGGCAGAATTGGATTTGCAAGTGTTGCGAGCATCGCAGAGTGACACAGTGTCAGGTAATTTGGAGTCATATGCTACATCTAGCACTTCCGATGATAGCCTTGTTTCGTATAATGTCACGTACCTATGAGATATCCTCCTAGAATAACACAATGCTTACATTTTAGTTGTTTTCTTATCTTTGTAACTATAATGCGTTTATTAGAATCTCACATTGTGTTCCATTAATCCATTTCAAGTAACCTGAACTACTAAATGAATTTACAAAGAGCTGCTTAATTTATATATCACACTTTTGATTTCAATTAATTTTGTGTAAGCCTGTTTTCATTTTTAAAAAAAGTATAAATACCTAAGACAAGAAAAAGAATAACAGTGGAATTTAAATTGCATATAATCAATAAAATGGAGCAAGTGTTATGTAAGAGGATTTTGTAAACTGAAGTTTTCACATTATAGTTGCAATAAAAACTTTTCAAAGACAAAGTTAGATAGACTTATAAAAAGTATTTATATAAGTTGTTAAATCAAGTATTAAAGTTGTGTGATCCCCAAATGCATGATTAAAGCAAGCTTCCTAAATTTTTTTTTAATTTACCTCCATGTTTGTGGTTTTATTAATTAGATTCATGTTATGCTGAAAAATGTGCTGCACATCTATTCTGTCTGGTTTACATTATTCCAGTCCAACGAGTGAAATTAGGTCTAGACTGAAAAATGTTAACCCAAATTGGAACCCACACAGTGTATTCCAGTGTGATTAACATAGCACTGGCTTCGATCACTGGACTGGAATAATGTTATCTGGATTAATGTGTTATTACATTTTATTTATGAAGCTATCTTGATAATTATTGTTTCATATGTTTGTTGATTCGTTTTTTTATTATTACTTTGCATTTTAGTTAAATACGATAGATGTTATTTTAATTGTCACAAGTACGCTTTTAGAGTTTAAATTTGAAATAAGTTTCTTTTGCCGTTTCTTTAAAGTTATCGATATTTAGTTATGTCTAATTAAATTCAATTGATTCGTTTTGTGATTGCTACAAGTACAAATAGTAATTATAAATAATTATATACATTATACGGAGGATTGTTTTCTACACTTTGAGAGAATATTTGCCATTTAAAGTATACGAGAAAATGCTCTCTTCAGTTCAAGTAAATTTCATACATATTAATGACATAGAAATTCCGTATTCAGTTTTAAAACTAATTCAGTAAATAAAAATAAACTTGTCTATTTTTTATTCTTGATAGAATAAAACAATAGTCGTATTGATTTTGCCGTTTATTGTTGATGTTTTACATCCAAATGATAGTTTTAATAATTTTAAATAACCGCCAATGCCTTTAGATAAAATTTTTTGACTGTCCATTAACTATTTATACCGTCAATTTCAATTTGTTAATGTGATCAATAACATTTTTCTTTTCAAAAAATTATAATAACATAATTAAAAATAAAATAGTCTGTAAAATAAAAATATGTAAATAATTTTTCGATAATTCATAACAAGTAATGTATGTTGGTATATTGTGAAATTGGCTTTAGGATAAATAATCCTTACTGTGATCAATGTGACGGAATTGTTTGGTAAATTTATATGAAAACATTTATGCTAAGGCTGATTCTTAGCATCACTATACTGAATGCGAAATTCTCTATAATGCTTATTTTTTATTTTTCATTTAAATCATTTTCGTTGTGTTCAATTTTGTGTTGCAGCATGATTTTACAGTGGTGGGTTTATGTTATATCACAAGGCAAAATTGTATTTAACACGAATCTAAAAAAAAACTTAAGATCATTGGAGTTTCTTAGTACAGATCAATTTAAATGTAAACATTAAGTGGGAAACACTCCATTGATTTTGAGATACACTGCTTTTGCATTGTCCAACGGACACTCTTTGCTAAGTAAAACATACCTATCTATAATTTGTATCATACAAATTCTATATGTGATTGGAATGTCATTAGAGTATCATTTTAACACCAAATAATACAAAACACATCCCCATTCTAACTACCTCATTCATTCATCAATAACGAATCTCTATTACTTTAATTGAGACCTGTTTTGGCAACCATTTTATCACATAAACCCATCCCTGACGTGTCATTGTATTGCATAAATTAAATTAAAATTCATACATATTTATTTTGATTTCATTAGAATTAAGAATCAAATTCGATCATGTTTGATACAGTATGTTAGTAATTGAATAAATATCAAGAAACACTGTTTTCTAGTCTTATTTATTTTAGTCGACACTAAGTAGAAACCCACGTTCATGTAAAATACTTGATAACCAGTTGAATGAAGTATTTATTTTAGTTTTGCCTCCTGTTGTGGTGTGAGGGACAACTTTAGAATCATTCTATACAACATAAATTCTTACTACAATTTAAGTATGTTTCATATTTAATGCAGAGTAAATGAAGCACTTATAATTCACCTTAATTTAATATTTTCGATCTCATTAAATGAACATACGCACACATTTGTTCGGGAAATTAGAGATAGTAATGATAGAGTAACTAACAACAAAGTACATTTTAACCTTTTTTGATCAAAGGACTAAAAAGTTTAACGTTTTAAGTACCCATGCACAAAGAAACCCATTCTTTATTATTTAGTAGAACTTTAATGGTTACTGAATAAATCTTTACTTCAGACAAAACCCTTGCGTGCGGCGCCCCACTCCGTACTTCCCAAGCCTCCATGGACATCCATTTGGAGTCTCCTATCCCGAGTCCCAATATCAAGGACGTTATTCAATCGAGAAGTTATCTTGTCAAACATGATAGAATATCAAGCCCAGAGTTTAAACACAAGAAAAAAATAAATAAAAAACTATATGTTGCTTAGTTGTAAAAATAAGGAATAAACTAAGAAGATTAATAATTTGATTTATTTCTATCATTTGATTTGCATGTGAGCTTTTTGCCATGGTATATGATGTTTGCTTTAATCCTGTTTGCGCATTAGCGCGTCACACGGTTGAACTAGACAGGTAAGTGAATCTGCATCCCTCCATTTAACTAAATGTATTGATTTATTTATAAATCTAAATGTAACTGCCACACCCAAAGTCGTTAAGGGGTCTGGGAAACCGCTTAAGGTAGATTGTATAGGAAATCAACACGAAGCGAGTGTTTATGTAACCATTTAACGACTGTGAGGCAGCAGTAAGTCTACTTTTTACATATAAAAGTGAGCTTAATATTTTGAAACTCAGATACACGTATATGTTTAATTAATAGGAAGTTGTTTGTGCCTAAGAATAACAAGCTAAGAGCTTTCGACAAAGCTTTCGATTCACAATAAGTTTGAAAAGCTCTTGACCTATTCAGAATCTGTATCGAAAAAGAGTAAATTCTATTTTATGAGAAATTTTACGATTTATTCTTAGGTGATGTTAAGTGCGAATTCATTGTGTTAGAAAAATTTAACTTATATAATGGGGAACAACCTTTTTGTAACGATATCGTATAATAATACTTACTATTCAAATCGTAGATCATTATTATACATTTGCATTAAGTAACTTGAAAGGAAACAAATACCCAAAAAAATCATCTGTATGAAATATGACTCACTCTAATTTTATTACTTGTATTGATCAGTGTAACCACAAAGCTCCACTACACCGACACTTGTATTAATAAAAATTGTCATCCCTTACATTTAGTCAATGACAAATATGTAAATACACTGACGATATATGTTAATACAAGCGTCGATTAGGTGGAAACCCACAGTAAATATCGGTTAAGTAAAATTTTTAAGTTGTGACCTCGGCAGAGCACAGTGAGGTGGCTAGCGCTGCGCGGTGCGACTCTGTCTCCGGGCTGGGGTCACGGCGCTCGTTAGCCGACACAAGTGTAACAAGCACCGCCGACCTCAGTGTCTTCTCCAGCGGTCGTTCCCACGCGCCAGACAACTCCCTCGACACGCACAGCAACGTCAGCGACGACGGCACAGGGTCAGATGGGTGAGATGTACTCAATACATGACACAAACTGATCATTTAGAGATTTCTAAAAATTTTTTACTCAGATATTACCAGGGAATTCCTTGCAGCTGTATTTCTTTTCGAGTTTAGGGTTCTAAGGACCCAAAGTGGTTTTTACACGTGGTCGGTTTATCCCTTTTAAATATAGAGGAAGAATTATAGTATAAAAAAGAATATAGAATATAGTCCAATGATTCTGAAATCGGACAAGACGTTTAGGCTATAGTCAGTTAATAAAAGAGACATACATGATAAGTACTGAGGCGAAGTTAAACATTAACTCGAGCTTAAAAATTAAGCTTGTTTAAATTAACAAATATAGATTTAAGATAAAATTCTTTATTCATTCTTTGTGTTGGTCCGGTTAAATTGTACGTTATAATGAAAACATAGTGTGTTTTTCCATTTATTGTTAAAATGATTCCATTTTGAAATCAAATGAAATAGTTACTTATACGATAAATTAATTTTCAAAGATTTAATTAAATTATAAATTTAATTGTTCTAGGAGTGGGTTGCGACACTGGCGACGCTTTGAACCAGACACATATGCGTCACAGGCGCAACCTCTGTTATATAGGTTGTTGGCTTAAACCATTTAGAATAGATTACAATCAGTTGTCACAGCTATGAACAGAACCGCGATCGCCACCCAAATGTTTAGTCGCATCATTTCTTTGTTCATTTACATTAACATTTCATTGATACGTGATTGATATTGTTAATGTGTACCGTTTAATACAGAATTCTACTGCGGTCACATTTGTATTCATACAAAATGTAGTCTCTGTTTTTATCAAAGAGAATGAAATAGATAAGAATATGTATGACACAAGTGTCACGGCAGTGAAGTTCTACAGTTATTTATTGATTGAATTAGCCTAGATTGTTTCTTGCTTCGTGGGAATATTCGGGTTACAGGAGTTAAATGGGCTTGCGCAACATGGTTGTCAGTTATTGCCGCTTTATTTGCTTTAAATTATTTATTTCGACAGAAAACTTAATTTATCAAAATTCAAATTAACTTAATTAAAATAAATCTGGTTACATAGAAATGAAAAATTACAGTAAAAAACTAAAATTAAAAAATCAATGAATAAGCAATACAACTGAACCGTGGAAAGATTAATTTATGCATCTGGAATTTGAATAACTTTTCTGATATTATTTATTAATTTTAACTTTGTTTTTTTTTTTGTATTAAATATGTGTAGTACTTGAAAAACTGGATTCGTTTTGTAACGAGATTATGTTCACATGTCAATGACGTAATTTATTAATAAGCGTAACGGAAACAAAACGGATGTTATATGATATCAAACAGTAATTGCTTAGTGAATTAAAATAACTTCGTCGACAATGTACTTTTACATTTCTGTGTCAATTAGAAGGAATTTATAAAATGACGTGGATTTCAACATATTGCATTCTGTTCGAGGAATTTGATAAAAAATATTATATTACGGTTTCTAATGACATGTCGATATGATTACGAAAAGCTGCTTGCACTTTTTAAATTGCAAAATTTTGTAATTATTCAATTTGATAACATTTACTTTTGGAAAAAATAATATCATTATAGGTTTCGATATCACTCAGTCGATTTTGAGTTATCAGAAGTGAATTAACCGGTGCTAATCTTACTTACTTACAAATATCATAAATGCGAAAGTTTAGATGGATGGATGTTTGCTAGAGTTTGTAGCCTAAACTTATGAACGGTTATAGATGAAATTTGGCATATACGATACTTAAAGGATAGTCTGGAAGAACACATAGGCTACTCACATTTGTTTTTTTTTAATTCCACGCGAACCACGCCGTGAGCAACAGCTAGTATAGATATAAAGCTTTTATTACACATTATGCGTGGTCTTAAGACAATTAACATTTCACATTACCGATGGTCGAAGTAAATAGCAACATTTCGTCCCGCATTTTATTTTGTGAAGCAAATTCACTTCATACGCTTATAATGTATTCATGCAATGTGTATATGGTAAACTATTGTCACGATTTTTTTAATAAATTATATAAATCAAGCTTAGTAAAAAATATTTTATTATTAGCACGAGCTATTCAAATCCTTTGCAAACAAAATTTAATCTATTATCATTTACCTTTTACTAGGTTTTAGAAGGACATAATACATTTGATTTCAGTTTGCTTAAAAGATGAATTATTATTTTATTCATGAGAAAATTATTCGTACACTTAACATCGGGTGGGATCGTGGTTATAGCTCAAGGTTAATTATAAATAGTTTTATAACAAATGATAAGTATACATAAACCACAATTAATTCTCAGGTTTTTTTTTTAATAGCGTGACAATGGTTCCACATACAAAAAGCTGATTTAAATGAATTAATTAATTGATGACGTCATTGTATAATTACAGGTCTGGTATATGCGGTATGAGCATCCAAAGAGCGCCATCAACCGCACACTCAACACCGCGAGGGACTCCCCACCCGCCGTCAGTGTCGCCGATGTCAGATGACGTTGTCCGAATTCACGTCACATACAACCCTTTGTCCGCAAGCCCTTCGCATCTCCAACCTATCAGTCCTTCGAAGATGAAGAACTACTCCGAAGTACACCACAAACCAGTCTCGCTAGGCTTCTATACAACAAACGGCAGTAATCGACCAACAGACAATAGGATTCGAATACAAGTACCATCAGAGGAACTACTCACACCCGTAGTCGATTCGGGAAGAATTATAAATCAACGATATATTGAATCTCATACGGAATTGTACGATCTTAAATAAGTGATTATGCTTTTGTTTATATGTAGTCTTCAATTTTTCATATTCCATTTTCAAATACCATTTATGTATATTCTACAATAATGTTATGTCGATTAATTATTGTATTTATCCAAATGTATGGATAATCAATTTGTTTTGCCCCTGATATGCGCCATACACTACACACCACACATGCCACTAACATATCTTATATTTCGTACGCACATAATTTTATATTTATAATTAACGAATGACAATGAAATGATAAAGGCCTTCATATATCAATATTGCACCGTTTAATGTTGGATTTAAGTGTTATGAATATGGAATGTTTGTTGTGAAAGCATCAAAGTTTACTCTTGTTCTTAGCCTAAAAGCCGTATATGAACATTTATAAACTGATTAGATATTATAAAAGCCTGCCTTGTTGACTAATTATTAAACTTTAAAGTTATTATATAAGATCTGATGTACATATGTTTTACTCATAGTTTTACGATTATGTAAAAACTTGCAATGCACTGTGACGTAATGTTTGCTAAACATTCCGACTGATTATAATATTAGTCGTTAAAGTGACACATTTTGAAGACGAATAACTTCCATCCAGCAAAGTAATAAGCAATAACAAGACCAATAATCACATATACACCACGTATTTATATTAATTGTGCTTATTTATATTAAATGTATTAAAGTTTATTGTAAATGCGAATTCTCAGTGTTGCAACGGACGTATAGTTGAATATATCTAGCCTTTGAAAGGCGCTGTTGTCGATTGTATCTGTCAGAAAATATGTAAAACCTAAGAGCGGGCGTACACACTAAACTATCGCACAACTGTTGTGCGATTGTCCATTGTCGATTGTTTCGCACCAAATTCAACTTAGTTACTTACTTACTTACTGCGTTGGCGCAGCGACCCGAAGTGGGTCTTGGCCTCCGACACGAGAGAGCGCCAGCGTCGTCTGTCCTGCGTTGTCGCCATTTTTTTTTTTTTTTTATAAGAAAAGCGGGCAAACGAGCAACGGATCGCTTGATATTAAGTTATCCGACGCCCATGAACATCCGCAATGCCAAGGGTACTGCAGATGCGCTGCCGGCCTGCCAGTCGAACGACTCTAGCTCGCGCAGGTCCAGCTCTACGGCGCATATAAATTCAACTTAGTTGCACAACTAAAAATCGTATAGTTTGCGCACCTTCATATAATCTCATAGGAATCAAAACGAGACTAAAAAGTTGTCCGATAGTTTAGGCAGAGGTGCGCGCTTTAAATAGACATATAAAATGTCGTAAAAAGAGAGCGCTAGTGTGCTGATATAATTTAGTTTCATTTGAGTCCGCTGGCCTAGCTGACTTGTCAGTCTATATAATTGTGGATTTAGATTGCAATTAGCATATCGTCGTCCCTGTTTTTTTTAAACCAAATGTGTGAGATGACAATACAAAGTGTCAATATAAGGGCGAAACCTACATTTATGTAGAACACCCTTTTCACACATTTTGAAGCGAACAGTCAATGGTTCAAAGTGTGCGGGATTTTAGAGCATAGAGTATTGTCACCTCAACAAGTTTTGAATATGCCATCGAGTTTTGGAAGAAGATAACATTAAGTTATGAATATAGCTATGTTATTTACTTACTCACTTTGTATAGATTATAGATTTTACAAAATCATTATTTTTTAAAGGTTACTATTTAATATTTTGTCTAAAGTACTATTAAATATACAGAATTGAATGTCTCTTCCTTACTTGCGACTATGACAGCTCTTGCACCAATTTAGGTACCTTGTGTATTATTTTTGTTTTTAAAATGAATACCAACTTTTTCACAGTACATGCATCTCGTTTATTTTTGTTTAACAAATTGTTGCTGTTAAACTGCGATTGTTTTTTATAAATGTGATTGCGACTGTACCTATCTGTAATAATTGCTTTGCGAAGAACGCGAGGTTTATCATATTTTTTCTGGTTTGAGGACTAAATGGGTACGAATGGGGTCATTTAAAACTCGTGCCTTTTATTGTTCTCTTCTTGTAAGGCACCTAAATCATATTTTTTTATTATATTTGTATAATTTCGACTCTTTAAGAAATAGTATTTTTGTAAATGTTATAAAATTACACCTTTTTTTGTGTCTAAGGCTAGTTTTCGATATTTTCTTTCTCTCGTTTGCCCCTAGAAAAAGCCTTGATTCAAGTAAGTTGATAATTTTTTTTGTGAAGTCAACCTTGAATGCGACATTGAAATTTTAGAAATTATGTTATGCAATTATAAAATGAAGTTATCGATTTTTAAAAATGGTACAATGAATGATACCTGTCCCACCAAATTGTAAATTGCCTTATAACAATCGAACGTGTAAAATATGCGATGGAAAATATCGGATTTTGTTACCGTATCTGACAGTGACGTCATTGTTAAGCTGAGACTCTATTACCAATGGTGGGGCAGGCCCTTAGACATTTTACGTTCACAAAATAACGATGATGCGTGTGCGAAATATTTTTTTACGTTCTAGCGCGGCTTATGGAGGAGACAGTCGATTCTTGTGTGCTTGAACATTTTTTTGTATTCCCAAAATTTTTACGTTAGTGTTGAAAAATTACGAAACATTACTTTGTTGTTACTGGCTGGTTCTATTTTTTTTTAGGTGAATATTCAAAAAATCAGAATAGAGAATAAAAAAGCCATGTCATAAGAATGTATTTTTAACTGTGATTGTTGAATCTCAAACATGTTATGAATCTATATTTTTGTATATTTGTTCTGAACATTTGTGCGAATATCATTTCTAGATACTGACGTCTCATTTGATTGCATTTTTAGGGAACAATTATCGTTAACGAGACATATGTTACATTCTTCCAAACAAAATTCATGTGAATGAATTTAATTTATTTAAAACATTATAATTGCTGACTATTAATTTTGTTTTTTTTTTTTAGATTTTAAATTGTCAATTATAATAATAGTATCTGTATTTAAAGTGATGTAGTTTTGTTTTCTTATCTCAATGATATTTATGTATGTTGATTATTAGATTTATGTTTTGATGTCGGTACTATTAGTATTATTTGCATATTATCAATTCGTTTATTAATAATACGCTTTATCGGAAATACATATTACAGGTCAAATGGTGTTTCAAGGATTAATTGTTAAAGTAGGATACCCACCTTAATATAAAGAAATATATTTAAATTATCTCTAATAGTACGTAGTCGGTTGCTAGAGTCTTAACTTAAAAGACATTTTTACTGTAGCAGATTTTGAGAGACTTAATTCTATAAGCGTAGATGTATTTAGTATATTTTAAAAGAGATTTCTTCAATCGAATATATAGAAATTATACTAGAAAAGACATCGCGTTGTATAGCATAAGAAATGGAAAATATAAATGATCTATATTTTTTTGATTGGAATGATATTTTAAAATTGAATGGTCTAAAGATTGTTAATTAAACTAATTAATATACAGCTAACACTCGCGTCTATTCCGTAAAGGTCAGCGTGAACTTATATTAATTGGTTTATATTGTCTCGCGAAAGTATAAACAATATAATTGTTGAATGTATCCACGATTGTTTAGCTGAAAGTTATAGCGCGTGAAGACTTGTAAGTGTTTATTTCTACATTCTTAGATGTCTGTTTGAATAAATAATTAAGTACAATTAACAATTATCAGCTGAAATGCATTGATAGTAATCACCTTTTGCTCAAGCGTAAAGGAAATGAATTTTATAATAGATGATTAATAACCGTTTAAATCTTCCAATTAGATAGCTAGAGTTGTTCAACTTCCCTAGGACAATATTAATATAAATACATCGATTTTACTGTTAGTATGAAGTTGTAATAAATTCACAATTCAATACTAATGTTACTAATGTTGAAATATCTTTAAAATAATAGCTTGATCGCAAGTTTATAGAATTAGAAGTTTTAAAATTTTTGGATGTAATTTTATACACGCAAGCAATAGCAATGCAAATGAGTGTTTGTAAATGTCAGCTGCCCCGAATTTAATAGACAATAGGAATTATTTTAATATTGTTAATCAGTGATATCTAGCCTGATGAGGGGGGCGCTGGTATCGCTTGGTACTGTCAGAAAATATGTAAAACATTAAAAATGTCAAAAGGGGGGCGCTAGTGAGCCAGCTCATTAGATCCACTTAACCGCACTTACCCTCTGAGTAAGATAACTTGGTCTATACACTTGGTTATGTTTTAGTTGTGAAAATAGTGTCAAAGTAATTTTTTTGGTTAATTTAGACTGGTCTGGATTGGTCAGAAAATAACCTTGATTAATTAAGATGTTTTGAGCAGTATATGTTAATCATATTATTATCTGTCATCTTTCAAATCATTTTCAACATTGAAATGAAAATTTCAATTGCTGCCAACATATTTTCTAAGACAAAAAACCGGAAACACTAGGCATTTTTCTGTAAATAAAATGAGAGGTTTTTGCCCGCATGCGCGAAACAGGAACAGTTTTAGTCGCTTTTTAAATCGCCTTTCTACTGTAAAGTCTGTAAAATTCTCTACCAAGAGTATAGATCAATTTTACAGCGATGTCATTTACTTTAATCTGTGTTGTCTATTAAATTAGGGATGAGTTTTATGATTGCATTTGGCTTGCTTAATGAAATCGTTAGTTATACCTAAGATGTTCACATTCTCTTAAGTGAATACAATAATACTCGGCAATAAAATTTTGCAATAGCAATTATCGTAATTTATTATAGAACAGAACTGATATGTTGAACCCTGTATTAAAGAATTTTGCGAAATTTGTCAGTTAAACTGTATGTAGACGTAGGATAATATTAATACTACCTGTTACATAGTTTGTTACCAATAATTGTGGGTTTCGACTGTCGGAGCACTTGTATAAATTCATATTGTCGTTTCTCTCATTCCCTTTGATAAAACAGAGACAGCAGTACGTGTTCAAGTGTTACGGCAGTGAAATTTCACGGTTATCTGTCAGTCGGTGAGTCTTAAAAGTGCAGTTAGATGTAGTAAAATTATGTTAACCATTCTGGCGGTTAGGAATAGATATAGAGTAGATTAAAATTATTTTATTCTTGAACAGCTGTTTTATTCACGCAGGCCTAAGGTCCAATTTGCCTTGGTATTCAAATGTAGGAAAAAACAAAGTTGTTAATTTATTATTATATACATATTAATTTTAAACAAATAATGTAATGAAAATTTGTATTGTGTCCGTTTTGATTTATAAGATGTCTGTAAAGGCGGGTTTTTACAATGCGTCATTTTACGGCGGACGTCCACGGACAAGCATTGCGTATATACATATTTCAAATATGGCGAGTGACGTTAAACTGCGTTGTACAATGCGCCTTGTATCCCTGTATGTTGATACACCTTATAATGTATTTTGCGTATCGATTATTGTGATATTCGGAACCACTAAGATATTTGATAAATACCAAACTAATTTAACGATGCCAAGTTAAGGATTTGGCAGGAAACCTTGACACTTTTTTAACGATACGATACTCGCCCACGTCCGACCGCAGAATCATGCACCGTAGAATCCAACCTTTAGACATAGAATAACAATGTAATTGTATTTTTATGATTTCGTCGATTTATCAATTTCAATGCATGTACAAAGTTTAATTATTTGTAAGAAAGTCAAATTGTATGTTAGCTTTTACTAATAGTCTGCTAACAATGCACTTAAAGACTATGTAATGCATTTTATTAAGTTAAATTTATGTTGCGTCATAATTATTATTTTTTTATTCTTTTATGGTGTGGCACTCAATTATCATTTTAATATTTAGATTTACTAAAAGAATACTGTTTGCTATATCATTTTATTTTCAGAGTTGGGAAAAACGTCCAATTTTTTTATCTGTGCCATTTTTTCTATTAAAATTAAGTACTTTGGTAAGTTGCGAAATTTTTATATTTTTTTATCATATACGAGTTTGCCTAAGTGATAGGACTAGTTTGGAAACATTTGTAACTTCATATAAGTCAAACTATCATGTTTGGCATTTTGTTTTTACCATTTCGCTTATTAATGATTTCGTATATTTTTAAAACTATCGATATATGAGCACAAATGAATATTATTTTCGAATACTAAGGTTCGAGTACCACTGAAAAAGTAGGCAGCCCTAATTTTTATCGCAGACATTCTTAGATGAATGTTTTATTTATTTTTTTTTAATATCAAGATGTCACTGCCATCTGGAGAGCTCGAATAAGATAGCATAGTTTAGTACAGTACAACAATTTCCTTTATTATAGTTTTAATTGGAATTAAATAAATTTAAAATATTATACTGGTCATATTATTTTAGTTGACAATTTCAACCTTTAATTCTTGTATATTATGAGCTATGACTATTCACGCATTTTGTAGTCTTTGTTATACTTCAACAAGTGTCATTGCAGTGAAATTTTGGGTTTAGAAAGTAGGATTAGAGCGCACGCACATCTTTGACTAAACGTTCCTACAACTGTTTAGTTGCGTTTGAACTCCCATGAGCTTGGATGTGCGCAGACTACTCGATTTTTTTGTGCAGCTAAACAGTTGAATTGACTGCGAAACAATCGACAATCTCACAAAAGTAATGCGGTAGTTTGGTCAAAGGTGTGCCCCTACTTAGTGTCTACTAAGATGCTTGTTTCGTCAACTGTTTTGGAGTTGTTATATTGGATCTGTTTCTTAGAATTAACAACTCGTGTTCCATCAAACTAATTTGTACATAAACTTGAATTTAAAACATTTGATTTCAGGAGAGTGAACAGCTATCTATTAAACTAGCGCGTACCATCTTTCGACAACATAATCACTTCCTTCAGGTGGGATTGTAGTCAAACGCTAGCTTAACAAATATATATAAAAAAACTTTTGATTTCAGAAGAATATTTCTTACGCAGTAGAAGCAAGGTAAGCAATTACCTCGGATAACCTTTTAGATAACCTCTAACTCCTTTTTTCTGTTTGAATATCTATTTTTTTATTGGCCTCAATGCACGCAAATATCTTTATATTTGCGTGCCTTAAGGACAATAAGAAATAAAAAACACAAAGAAAACACTATTTTAAGCAAACTGGTAAAGAAAGTGTATTTTTCGATTAAAATCCTTAGCTATTCCAGTCGTGAATACTGATCTGATAAATAACATAACATGAAATTTAGATTATAGGAACTTTATTACTATAAATAAGACTTTACCTTGTATATAATGTCTACTGTGGCTGGTAACATTTAAAACGAAAGGCACGGTATTTTCATTGGTCCGCAATAACTACAGCCCTCGAAATATAGCATAAGTGAATACATTAATTTATAACATTCTTAGATAGGTTTGGTATCTAATCAAAGCTATATTTTACATATCAGAACATATCAGATCGTTATAAATATTATTTATTTCACATTGCATTCATTGTGTATAAACACGTTCATACTATTTGAATAACAATTTTGAAATACATTAATATATTTTCTTTTTGGATTATTATAAAAAATTAAAATAAAAGAGTTACAAAATTAAATATTAAAATTCATTTTAAATAGTAAACATTACAAAACATTAAATGCGATTTTACATTTAAAATCCTACTCAAAATCATCGGTGCATATCGTGCAATTTGTTCTTAGTTTTAAATGTATAAATAAAATAATCGTTTACCGTTACAGTTGTTGCTACAGTATTTTTTAACTTTGTTCTGGTATAATTACTTAGACTACTGTCGGAAATAAAACGCGTGAAATAATTTAACAAGTCAATTTCGAAATAAACATGAAACAAAATAACGGTTTTCAATTAAAATTACAAAAACAATGAATAGTGAATATATTTGAATACTGTTACAACGGTTTTCGGGATTAAATATAACATAACATATTTAAACAAATAACTTGTATGATTGTAAAACAAAAAAATATTGATTTTTTTTTAATCCGACCATTATAAACATTTTACAAATGATTGTTTGAATTATATTGTATTGGTCGTGCTCGTAATAAGGTCTTGCTACATTTTCACACAATTAAATATTGTACAATTGGGAATGCAATCGAAATAAAAAAAGGTTAAAACAAGTTAAAATCTCCCTTATACAGCTGACACAGGCTGCCCACACATTTGAACGTTATAAGATCTGCATATTATGCGGAGCTTTAAAACATTCAATTCATTATTCATAACATTTCTTGCACCAAACAAAAGCGGTGTCCAAAATCGGTCCGCGGTGTAGTAAAAATACGTCTTACAAAATGCTTTAAAAAGATTAAAATAAATTGAACTAAAATCTAAACCTTACAATCTAACTAACTATCACACATATTTCCTTTTCAACTCAGACCTGTGATCAGGCTGATGTGCAATGTTACTAGTTGTACTCATTTATTATGCTTATAACAGCGTCTTTGGTACCGAAGATAAGTGCGAAAAGGCCAAAGATGAATACTAGAACATTCTTCCATGCCAGATAGTGGAAACGTCCGTAACCGATGTTCCAGAAAGTGATAACTTCAATGAATGCTGGAGCTATAAGGCCTAGTAGTGAGAAGCAGAATGCACCGATAACTCCCATGAATGGCGCTATGGTAGGGACAGCGGCCGCGAGTAGAACACACACTGTTACCATGACAGTACGCATGGCGTAGTCAGCCATTATCGGGTGCTTGGTGAACTTTTCCTTTATGCAGTTCCACATTATCTCAATGCACACAAAGAACTGAAGACCGAATGTGCAGTAGACGGCAATTGCGATCGCTATTTGAACGATTTGGGCCGGTCTGAAAAACATTATACAAATCACAACGTTTTCTTTAAAGAAAATTTTAAAACTAGATTATAACAGCAATAAACATTTACAGAGTTGAAGTAAATAAAAACTATAAATTAAGAATAAACATGCAGTTTATTATTCGTATTAACAATGAATAAAATGTATAACAAATATGTTTAAAAAGAAACTAGTTCGGAAGAAACACAATCGATAAAAGCCATACTCGTAAAGCCATTGTTAAAGTATTAACAACTATAAGTAGTGGAAGTAAAGGACTCTATGTCACGGTCAAGGTATTAAGACTAAGCTCTAACTACGCTGTTAATGAAACTAGTTTCTCATTCTATGTTACCGAGTTAGTAAAATGTTTTTTTTTAATCTTTTTAATAAATTTACGCAAGAAATAATTAAGTGGTAGGATAGCCAATTGTAATAATGATTATTGTATACTTACACCTTTTCTTGGTCCAAATTAAGATTGATTGAGTCTTTGACTTCATCGCCGTAACGTAGATAACCGAGGAAGCCGAGTAGGATGTACACAAGAGTGACTCCAGACATGCCTTTGTTCAGCACACCGCAGAATCCTAGCATAGACTTGGGCGTTTTCATAGCGTTTTCCAATGGCATAACAACTCCAATAGCTTCCATCGCGAAAATCGTCAGCGAGAAGAACTCGGGCCATTCTACTGGGGGTTTGATGTTCGATACTTTGTCAAAATCAAGACCTCCAGTGCCCACTAAATAATAGAAAGTGATTCCTAGACCGACGCCCATGAATACGTTTGCGATCATAGAAACTGGCGCTAAATATTTTAAGTTCCTAATCCAAGCCATGCAGATGAGTGGCATTAGAAGTATCAATATAATCAGTCTTAAGTCGATATCAGAACTTAGATAGTGGTTCGCCACCTGCAACAAAAAATATTACAATGGTCTAAAGTCTACGAAAACAAAACTAAGGGTTCGGTACAGTTACGCTTCGTCACGTTATACAATGCTTAATGATGACTTAATAATCAAAGCTACCTGAAATTATTAGGTAGGCTTTATAATAAGTATCTCTATTACACATATATTTTTTTGGTTACTCCAGTACTAATGATATCCATGATCTATTTTAAAGCTTGGTAATGATTTTATTTAACGAATAAAAACAACGAAGCATAAATATAACCGCACCATTGGTGTACTGTAGTTGTCCCTGAGCCGTGAGACTATCGATCTGTTCAGACTGTTTTCTACTTTTTTCATTCAATTAAGATAGAAAGAGACAACCTCTATTTGCATTTCACGCAGAATATTAGGCGTTGCAAGGCTAGTTCTACCGTTATAATCGTGTTAAAATAAGACATAGGATACTTTAAGTTCGATATCGAAATTGTAATTTGTATAAATTTAAGGAAGCGCTCAATATCCAACAGAATGGTAAACAAATCTTCCCGTGGAGGAAAACTTGTTTGAGATAGAGATTATGTTACCACGTTGTGTAAATTGTATTTACATTTTCCGGTCCCTCAACTTTGAGGGAAGTAAAGAAAACACTCATAGATAATTAATGTGTGATTATTTACCTTTAATATGTTCGTGGCAATGATCACAGTATACACCGAGCACGTGCCAAAGTAGGTCATGAACAGACTGACAAGTATGAATATTCTGTAGACAAAAAATCACATTTCAAAAAATGAAAAATAATTTATTTGAATAGAAGGTAAAGAACATTGCTTGTAGATACAATAGAAATAACATTAAATATACACAGTTTATTAGCTGTTGAATAGAATTCGGATGGTTAAATGGTTACAAATAATATTATTTATAATATTTTATGTTAATAGATAAAAAAGTATTAATGTTGTGGTTCGTTAATTACATTTTTATACCAAAAAGATTCGGAAAGTCCTAATTATAGATTTGGCAACAGTTTGCCTCGTCTAAAAATAGAATAAGCGGAAATTATTAAGACATTGGGCAATATATTTTTATTACGGCAGGGGTAACGGACTGTATTTTAATAAATTCTGCCTGTAATAGACCATCCTATTGCTTGTATGTTGGCCCTTAATTCGTTCAATACCTCTTTTTCTATAAAGATATATTACCTAAAACTGTATGCATATCGTTTTCCCCACTGAGGTCCGTTTTGCATCGCCGTTTCTGCGACTTCAGGATAGCTCATAGTCGTTCTTCTCGTCTTTCTATACAGTACGTGAGCACATTTAATCTGTTAACAAAAACATACGTAGAGTATTCATTTCGCAGTAAGACGAGTAAACAAAAGCTAAACAACACGAAAGAAATAATATTATGTTTTAAAAATCACAAACAGTATATAATTTGTAGCCTGTCTGTATATATAATATCAAAAGAATCCAATAGAGAATTTGATAAAATGGTATGTGAAACAGAACAGTACATATTGCAAAATGTATCAACTTTTTATCACAATCAATTTTGCCCGCTTATGGTAAAAGCACACACTTCGAAGCGAGATATCTAGCACTTGAAATATTAATCTCTACTTCTTGACATTAGAGCTCGGTAACATTTAAACGCCAGCTGCATAAGTTTTACATAGCTCTGCAAAAATAAACCAACATTCGCTATAAAGCATCTATAGATTTAAAAAAAACTTTCGCCAACGCTACGTAATATTAAATGAAGATGTTTGCGCTAAGATGTCATGAATCATTTTCACTTTGCGGTGCGCCACTTTTGGGGTTACGCTATACAAAAATGACAACCTGTCGGCTAGCCACTAAGTGGAAATAGCTTGTTATCGTTATAACACAGAACAGAGATATATTACAATTTGAAATAATGTATAATCTACGTAGGCGCGGGCGATAACTAGTGATGTGAAGGACTTACAAGAACGTAAGCGCAGTGGGTGCAGATGACCGCGACGAGAATGGTGAGAAAGATACCGTTGATGAGGCCGGAACTTTTGAAAGCTTTGGGCATCGCGAGGATGCCAGTACCGAGCGAAGCCTTCAGGAGATGGGTTAGTGTGTCCATGTTTCTGGAAATTGTCAACACTTTATAGCTTCTAATGTTTACTAATCTTTACAAAGGTTAATTTAGACTGTGTTTCCATTGCGGGAAAACTGTATAAAAACATGTCACCCTTTTTTTAATCTTTGTCAAAGGTGACGTTAATATGATCTAGTACTCGGCAGTGGAAACTAACGGTTATTTACATAATTGATCTTTGTCGAATGATCATAGTAGCTAGTACTACAAACACTTCAATGATAAATATTTTTGTTGTTTTATCTCCTTTACTTCAATGTGAAAACACAACGTTTTTCTCCTTCTGTTTTACCATAAGCGATAAAAATATTCATTTTGATAATTAACTTAGCATATTTTTTTTGTCAAGTCGGTAAAAATGTAGAACAAAGATCAATGAACATTATTATGACATGTAAAATATTAACACATTTGATATAAACATTCTACTAAGATAATACGGAGACTAATGAAAATGTATTTTATTCACAGTTATAGTTATCGCGCAACAGTAACGGTAATTAAATAAATAAAGCAAATATTCGCAATGCGCTTTGGAACTAGCATTTTATCAAACTGCATTGCATAAATTGTTAAATAAATGCGTCTAAAATAGCCGGAGTAACATTGAACTAAATATTTACGGATAACGTGTGTTTACGTGTGTACTCATATAATACTCCCAAATCTAACATTTATCATTAACTTGACCTTTATCCTACGGAGGGTCGGCACAGTATGTACTGTTCTCCCATAAATTTCTATCAGCCGTCATATCTGATTCCACTCCCTTCTTAATATTTACTTAATAATTACTTTCTTCGATCTTTCTCTACCTTTGTAGACAACTCTTCACTAACATTCATCATCACCAGCTCACTATACGTCCCCACTGAGGGGCTCGGAGCCTACCCTAATACGGGGTGACTAGGCCATAGTTAACCACGCTGGCCAAGCGCGGGTTGGTTGACTTCACACATATCTTTGAATTTCTTCGCTGATATGTGCAGGTTGCATCACGATGTTTTCCTTCACCGTAAGAACATCGGGTAAATTATGTACATATGAAAATTCGAAAAATCGAAAATCACATTGGTACATGACAACACTAACATTAATCTTTTTAAAATATACTCACACTTAAATGTACGAGTAAATTAGTTGTTGAATTGTTAGCACATTTACATTGAGTTTAATGCATACCTATAACAGCATTGTACAATATGATGAATAATGTAGTATGTAATATCTGCGCAGTATCTGAGATATATGAAAATTAATAGTCTTAACACGAATCTAGGAAACACTACCTTTTATATAAAGTCAATTCAACATGAAGTAGACAAGATTATCCCTACGCCTGTATCAAATAATACCAGAAAACCAATATTAAGTTGCTGTTGAACTTTCGACCTGTGTCGCAACAGCTAGGTACCCGGTAGGTTATCAAGGAGTTTTGTTTTAATCTTACGAATATTATGTTTTTATATTTTTAACGTCTATACTTACGATGTGGGATTGTCCAGTTTACGTTCAGCAAAAGGATCAAAATCCGCCGCCTCTGCATCTTTGGTCATTTCATATCTGCAGACGTGAAAGAATTTTTTAATTAAACAAAAAAATACATTATCTGTTCGCGGTAAAAAATATCAGATACTAGATAAGTTTGCTCGTCAGTTTAGTTATATTAATGTTTGTTTATTAGATTATTCTATTTTAAAAAGGACGTTGACAATTTAAACAACTGTGTACAAACATGTTGAATATTTATGATACATAATACATAATAAACATAATAGAAATATGAATTATAACCAAATAAAAAAAGATATTATAATTAACAAACTATATCTACGTATAAATTAATACACTCGGAGGTATCATTATCGACATTATTCCACGTTAAATACAATAAGAATTTAACTACAGAGAATCCAATCAAAAATGAACTTCTCTTGTTGCAACAACATTGTATGAACGGCTAAACTTATAAAAAAAAACTTGGGAAATCTTTTAAAGTTCGCTATTTATTTAACGATACGTTATAACTTTACCTAGCGAAATCCGTCGTTACCTTGGCACACTTTGATAAAAACTAAACATAGGACAATCGAGAAAGAAAATCATGCATTATATAACACACTCTAATATGATTCGATATGCGATTTTACTTAGAAGAATAAAAAGTAAACTTCAACCATTTTTTCGTAACACAGATTTAAATTTTGGTTTATAAAAATTTTAACAGTTGGGTCAGAGCTTCTGGTCTATAGTAAGTATTAAAAAATAACATACTTTTTGACGATTCTTTCTTTATTCCGTTCTTCTGGAGACAAGAATGTCTCAAGCTCCTGCTGCGGAGAAGCGCTCCCATTTGACTCCTGTTGAGTAAGATTACTGTTTACGACCGTTTTCACTGCAGAAACATTTATATAAACATATGTTCTATCCCTATCATTTATCTTAATAAAGTAGATATAACAAGTTTTTGTACTCGTTGTTAATTATTCACATTTTATCTTACCCAAACATATAAAATAAAGAAATAAGAAGATTATTTTTGCTACAAAATAAAAACACGAGAACTGGCATCACTCGCTTTGTTTGTGATTGTTTTGTATTACAAGTTAAAGTTAAAAATATACACGGATAATAAAAGAGATTCTCGCTTGCAAAGAACCATAAGAGTCTCAAATCTGACGGGTTTATGATATGACTAAGGTATTTTAGTCATAAATATTGTCAATAATTTAAGGATTACCAGTTAAAGATAGAGTTACGGATAGAGTTGTTAAAATATAAAATACTTGAAAACAACTGCAACCTTGTTTCTTTTGTTTATGAGTGTATAATTATTAATAATAAAGTATAATACTTACATTAACCATTTTGATAAATTTTGCTTGTCTCTCGAACTATCTGTAAAGAAAATAATATATTATTGGTTGCCTTCTCTATGTAAATTACAAAATTATTAAACTAATTAGTCACACTCAAATACGTAAGCAATATTGATAATAACAAATGCAAATGCATTAAAATATAATCATTATATACTACGTAACGAGTGGCTTTACATTTTAATAATTTTCCGTTGTAAGATCAAAGCTCATATCCGGATTGCTGTCTTGTTTGACCTACTAGCATTAATTTTACTGCACATCAACAATACGTGTTTGATTTCTACTAGTAAAATAAAGTCAACTTAATAGGGCGTAGCGTAGGCAAAAAAAATCAATACTGTGTGGGCCTTACCTTTCATGCACACCGTAATAAAGTCATCGGTCTACCCAGCTATTGGGAACTAACACGCATTTCAGTTCATACAAGCATGACTTGTAAAATCAACAAAAATGTGAAATAAAACAGACGGTACGGTGTTAACGTGCATTAGCGTTTGTAACAGGTATGACAATGAAAACGTAATGAGGATTAATAAACAAAAGTGACCATGATGTTTCGAAATACGTAGTAGAATCCGGAACTTGACGAGAGTAAATAAAAGCTGTTTATATACGTAAGTAATGTGACATTGGAATCATTTTACAGCGTAATTTTATTGTAGTAAAGTTATCTTACTTATTACTATTATTATAAGTGCGAAAGTTTAGTTGACGGAATGTATGTTAGAGTTTGTACCCTAAGGGGCTGAACAGATCTTGATGAAATTTGAATTTGCTTACGTATTTTTTCAATTCCGCGCGGACGGCGTCGCGGGCGAAAGCTAGTGTTACCATAGATATTTGTTTTAAGCTTCTGTTACATCTAGTTTTACCATATCTGTAACTTGTATGCTCGTGTCGTGAAAAACGTTATCTATCTGTAATCCATAATCAGAACTCGTCGCTCTGGTTCAAGGTCATGACGGAAATAGCTTATCTACATTTTATCTTTACAATTCAATTTATCAGTTTTAAGTACAGTACTTACCAGTGAATTTGTTTTTTAGGTATATAAGTAAAATCAATAATTTCTATAATGCACTTTATGAAAGCATTGCACTGGTCGAGTTGCTTTTTACAAATGGCCGTAATTTAAGATGGCCATGGCAGCTAATTTTACAAAGTGGAAAACGTGCAAGCGGCTACTTGATTTCGTTAAAATGAAGTGACCACTGCTTACAGAAATGCATTAAAAGATTGAAGATTCGTTGTTTTGTTGTTTACTTTTATTAGACATTGTACTGATAAAGGATATTTCACCATTACGAATATTCCTACCCCCGTCAAATAAAACAAAAGAAAAAGTTGTATAGGAGAGAGTAAAAGAATTTCTCGTTTATACTAGCTTTCGCTCGCGACTCCGACCGCGTGGAATTTAAAAAAAAAACAAAAGAGAGTAGCCTATGTATTCTTCCAGACTGTCCTCTACATCTATATCAAATTTCATAGAAATCCATTCAGCCGTTTGGGCTACAAACTCTAACAAACATCCATCCATCCATACATCTAAACTTTCACATTTATAACATTAGTATGATTAGTATGATAATATGATTTAGACGAAACATTACATTGACACGAAAAAATTACGGTTGAATATTTTAAGACCGTTTACCTTTATTGTAATAATATTTATAGCTATTCTTTTGATTAATAACACGTTCCTATCCTTAACCAATTGTTCAGTTCACGCTTTTACTTTATCTTAAAGTTATCGGCGTGTTAAGTTGCGCGGAGTCATGGTCCAAACGTGATTTAAATACGTACTTGTTTAATCTACCGTTAAAATACGTCGACAGTTACGTCAAATGTTTTGTTCATTGTTACGGTGAGTTTCCACTAACGTAACTTGTACATAGAAACATATTAGAACAGTTTTTGCAGAAAGAATGAAAGCTTACTGTTTTTGTTGTGGGTGCAAAAATCCAGTAACTTGTATCTATTGTAAGTAAAATAATAAATAAAATAAAAAATAAATGTCCGAGACAAAAATATCTAAATGAAATGTTTCTTATAAGTTTGGCATTTAATCGTAAGACGATTGTTTGCGTGACGTTAATGTTTACTAGTATAAACTAAAAAATTTTGCATCGGGAAAAATGTAGTACATAATAATCAAAAGTGAAATACTAAAACGTTTGTTAAAATGTCCATTAATGTTATTTTTTTATCTAAAACAAATTAAATCCCAATACCATAAAAAACACAATATTCCGTTTTAGTGTTATAAAAATATTAAATACAGCATCATAAATATATAAATATCGCGACTAATTATGTTATTAAAATTTACAATAAAAACTTCAGAAATAAAAAAAAAACACAACAAAAAAATTGTACCCGAATTACTTTTAATGTGAATATTGAATTGTCATTGAAAGCTTCCGAAGCCTCTTTACATACATCATTTTTGTGCGCCGAACGTTCCATCTAGATGTTTATATCTATGGTCACAAAGACATAAATAAGCTAACAATTTCTTCAGTATAACGCAAAAGTTCACGATAAAATGTATCCGGTAGAGATGGGTAATTAAACCAAAATTGTTGACTTGCTGATCAGCTCTCGGTGCATAGATGAGCCAGCTCAATATGTACCTTCTCAAAGGTATCATTTGCTTAAGTTGCATGTCACCGAACAGCTCGTGGCATGTTTACATTGGGTTGAGCTGTGAACTGCTAATTTAGTTGTTAAGCCGCAGCTCAACGGTGTAAGGCTATATGAGCTGATCTCTTAAACCGGTTCAGAGCAGATTTACACACTAGTCTAATCTAGTATCCGGTCGACCTATGACTTCTTACGTCTTTTTCTCCGTATTTAGCTAATGGGTACAGATCCGTTCCTTCCCGTCAAACTGTTTGCAAATTGCATCCGTTATGTTATGTTTCCATTGTCCAAGATACAGGTATAGAGGACAAATAAAAACTTTGTGCCTGTACCTCGTTATTAAAAATCACAAAACTGATTGTCTAGGATTATATTTTTAGATACCTAAGTTAATTCAGTATCATTATTTTTAATCCATTATTAAAGAAAAACATTGATTTCAACTAAGAACTAAGCATGTAAGGATTTTAACAGTGATAGTATCAGATCCTTAAAAGAAGGACAACAAAAACCTTGTTAGTTAGTTATATACCTTTGGAGTAACATATGTTTTTTATTATATGCTTGTTCTTACACCATTCAACGTGAACTTCAAACTTGTTTGACTGGTATTATTAAGTAACAGCCGGGGGCTCGGCTCGCTTAATAAAAGCACATACTATGTATATTAGAAATGTATGTATGTTTAGTATTCATAGCTTACTTTATTGGCAATGTCCGACTCTGACGTCTGTATATAGGAATTATATAATTATTTATCTTATTCAATGTTAACTTGTAAATACATAATTCATTTTCTGAAATAATATCAATGGTGAATTATTATTCTTGGAAACGTAATTCCAAGATGTAGTAACAAATTTTTGTTTTAGTTTACCAATAGTGTTGTTATTGTTATATAGAATCGGTTATATTGCAACAAAATACTGTAAATAATGTTACAATGTAATAACTATCAACAATAATATACCTTGAGTTATGTTTAACATACAAATAAATTATGAAACATTTGTTTATATAGGACACACAGCTAAGCATAATGGCGATTTTGCATCTATTCAATTGAACCGTAATGTTTTGTTATTCTAAGTGCGCACTCGATGCCTGGTGGTGGAATGTTCTCTGCACTGTACACTTCAATAGTATTCTCTGATACTGTACATGTACATTTGTACATACATAATTCAAAATAGCCAATCATTGAAGCTACCTGTGCAAAGAATTTAAAAAAAAATAATTTTATTGTACATTGTTGTCGTTGACAATTGCCTCGTCAAAATTTAAGGTAGACTTCAAGCCCCTCAGGGGGCACTTATAGCTGATGATGACAAAAAATTGACATTCCCTTTGTCAAAATTCCACAAGATCATAAAACATTTAAAGTTACTTTACATGTGAAGGTTAGTAGTTTGGATAGCGGGTCTTCTTCTTCATCTTTCTCCTTATCCTGCTCCCGTAGATTCGGCGCAACAGTTTTTTGTCCTCCACATAACTCTATCATACGTCATCTCAGTCATCACCCCCTTTTTGATCATGTCAACTTTCACGCAATCACTTTCTAGGTATACCTCGACAAATTTACCCTTCCACACTCATAAATATATCGATATAGTGCAGTTTTCTCTACCTGCAGCCCTACCTGTAAATCTCGCTGTTTAGTGAAATGAAATAAAAGTATATAAATTGACCTTTACAATTGGTATGTGTGTAATTTACATACGACTAGAAATAATAATTAAAAATATATTTTCAATACGAGTATGTGCTCTTTGTACACTTCAATATAATTGAAGTGGTGTGGCATACAAGTGGTGTGTTGTCTTCGAGAATAATAGAGAATAAATATTATTTATTTGTTTGAAACAAACAGAGCAGTACTCTTGATTATCCCTGCTATCTTAATTTGTGTCAGTAGCGATAATTATGAAGTATTCATGTTTGTATAAACAAGAATAACCGATTGCATTGTGTAAGTTAAGAACAATAAGTTTCTGGTGAAAATGTTTGATACTCTGTGGTTTATTTCTATCGAGACACTTGTGTTGAAAATACATTGCTATCTGTCTCACTCCCTTTGAAACAACGATACAATTCTAGTGAATTCTTTGAAGTACATGTTTTAGTATCTAATTTCTAAAGGCGATTGTTTATTATTACAAGAAACCTTTTTAAGCATGTTCTAAACATTAATTTATGGTGTTCAGAAAAAGCGGAACATTACATTTGTTTTGTATTAAAATGTTTTTTATAATTAGTTGATTGTAGGTTCTCTTATTAATATCGACTACTGACAGTCACTCAGTAATAATTAGAACAGTTGCACATAGTACCAACGTAAATTCTCTATTTTGGTTACACCTACACTGCGGT